AAAGAGAGGAAATGGGTAAAAGAGACACCATCTCTCAAGAGATGTCATGTGATGTCTCTTGGTTGCAGCGACGCCCCACCTAAGAAGAGGAGGGACATGAGATTGACGTAGCCTCATCTCCCTCCTTCTTCTTCTCTTTCTTTTTCTTGTTGGGCCATTCTTTGTGGGTGGATCCTCTTGCTTGCTGGTAGGAACCTATTGGTCTTAGATCCAATATTCCATGTTAAATCTTTTAAGAGAGGAGGAAGGCGTCAGTTGACTTGGAGTTGAACTCTTTGAGGTCGAAGAATCCTAATTCTTACACTTCTTCTTGAAAGGGTTGACCTCAAAAGTGGAACATCTGGTTGACTATCTTTTCATTGAATTGAGTTGACTTTCTTGAGTGGAAAATTCTTGATTTGATCAGATGATCCCATCAGCTTGAGTTAACAAGAACTATAAGAAATAATAGAATTCCTAGTACACAAACAAAGTGAGATGTAAGTTAACTATGATACAAGCTAATTTAGTTGAGGACTTACATTAGGTCACTATTTTAATGTCCATATCATTGCCCATTTGATTCTTAAAACTTTAATATCCAAAATAAATTGTTGATGTTAGGTACGTGGGGACATCCATTTAGAGCTCATAAGATGATTTAAAGAAAACCATTTGAAGGGAAAGGTAATGTGATTGATTTAGCATGGACAAGAGAACCATAAAATATGTACAATGTTTACTCCTCTCTGTTACTATTTTTTGCATAGAGATATATTTTTACTAATATTTGAGAACGTCTGATTATTAATTCCATTTATATCAATCTTGGTCCCCTAATCTTCTTCTAATTTTATTTTCATGTCTTCTATATCCTATTATAGTTATTTCAGTGCCCATGCACTTACTAGGTAATACAACTGGTGATCCCACTTTCATTAATGGAACGTTTTTATCTCTCTAACAAGTTTAAGTAATCTAGAGAGAACTACAAAGCCAAAGGTTGTGAATTTTGATAGAAAAGTTGTTATTGGGTTCTATCGGTAGGTGGATCATGTCCCCGTACAAGGGTTTCATAATGTTTTCATCAGTACGAAGAACCTAGGTAATTTATAAGATTAAATTATGCTTGGTGACAAAGTAATATGGATCATTGCTATAGTCGATTAATGCTACTGATCTGTAAAATCAATTATAAACCATACACATATCGAAGTTTCTCGCTATAAAATACATAATTTTTGGATATCTATGATTCAAATGCGCTTGTCAGCAAGAGACCGACACAAAACAATATACATATATATTATTCGGATTAATAGCAATATCAACTTGGAAAATGTTATCCGTTACCTAGTTCATCAAGCGTCATTGAAAGATATTGACTAATTTCAAATCTAACCTCCCACAATCATCATCGCTCAGATTCTCTACCTTATCTCGTCTCACTTGTGTTAGGATATCCTTCATTGTCTACTATCTACCAGATGCACAGACCAGAACTTCTAAGATAAGACACCACAGTAATATGGTAAATTAATTGACCCGTGTCTCAGTAATTTGTCGAAACCAGATGCAGTGGGACATATAAGAAGAAATCATCAAAGAAATGCGTCGCAAAACGTAGTCGAGGAAATAATTACCTCCTGGAAAAGGAACCATCTGACGCGTTCGCTGCCGCCGGCTCTCCCCACGCCACATCGCGGAGCCCAGAAGCTTGGATAATGCCGACAGCATCATATACAAAGGAGCTCCAGTCGGACCGAAATAAAAAAGGACGAAGAAGATGCGTCGAACAGGACCGTACCTGCACGGGGCAAACGCGCGGGAGAAATGACGCGGGGTGGAGGGGAATGGAGAGACCGACGATGACATACAGAGTTGCCTACGTGCAAGACTGGTGACGACTGCCCCCGCTCTGGTGGCTGCCACACGGCAGATGCCCAGCTTTCGGCGCTGGAGGCTCGGGCTCTCGGGCGTCGCCGGGGCCGGCCGGCGGGCACTGTTCGTGTTTCTGTCATATTTTCAAATCCTTTCGCTCTGGCGGGGAAGCAATCATCAGGCGGTAAGGTCAACGTTAGGCACCAATATTTTAATTTTAATTTCCGCTCATCAATGCAGCAGTTCTGACTAGGTTCGACATGGGGCCCGCGAGCAATCCGATCGGCAACCGACGGCTGGACGTGTGACCAACAGCGGAATAGCTGTAGTTGAGCCATCAAATCGGAAGGTGGGCGCAGAGTTGGATCACGACCGACGCCAGAATCACGACGCCGACGACTCCACCACCAACCTCCTCCCCCGCCGGCATCCCGCGGAGGCCCCTCGAGCTACGGTGTTCAAAACCTCGGCCCGGGAAACAAGGGGGCCCGGGGAGTTCCCCCGGCTGCCTAGCGGCGGCGACGGCGACGTTTCAACTGTCTCCACTATTGCTGGTCCCGATTGCGACTTCCATCTCATCCTGGCTGCTAACGACGTCTCTCCTCCCGTGCCCCTGCTTGAATACATACCCTGGCGAAAGGGGTTCCGTGCTATCAGAAGATGTTAATCATTCCACCTCGATTAGGGATAAATATTTTAAATATTGGCGATTCTTTTTTTTACGACAAAGTCGTTCATATTCAGAAACTAAGTTTATGCAAGAGGACAATATCTAGTATACTTTATAATATTCGGAAAATTGAAGGCCCCGTCTCATGGTTGGCTGATGATACTACCTGCCGCATCTTCTCCCCTGCTCGTGCTTGCTCTTCGTTTCATTCCGCCTTCAATTCGCGCTCGTCCTCGGGACTGCCGCTTACGTCGGCGATAGCCACCTGCTGCCCTTCGGAAGATATTCCCCGGCAACCGAATCGCCGACAGAGCGTGATGGCAGTGTCGCATCTTTTCCTTCCGCCTGGTCTTGATGATCATCCAATGCGTCTATCTCACGGATCGTGACGGGAGGAAGAAGGATGAAGGAGACATCTACGTCGGGTGCTTCCGGAACTCCCATCGGACCATCGGTCGGCAGGAAGATGGAGAACGCGGCTGTACTTGTCTATCTCGCCACCGCCACCGCCACCGCCACCGCCGCGAGATCCCCGTGGGGGCCAGATCGGGCACGCCTCATCATTCATCGCCCAGTGCCCCTCCGGTGGTCACTCGTGACCTCGGATCCGCCGCAGATAGGCCTCCTCTCTCCCCTCGAGCATGGTCTCATCCACGGCTGAGGTCTTCCGTCGGCCGAGGAGGCCCCACCCCGTGTTTCTCTGTTCATCCCGCCGCTCCGACTTTAATCGCTCAGACGCCGTTATGAGCGTCGAGTGCCACGTGGACACTCTGCTTCCGAACAGAATCCGGACGGTGGAATCCATAAGCAGACGGATCGACGGTCGCGATCGATTTGAGTTCTGAAAAAGCCCGCCCCAGTCGCCGTGGTTCTCGGCACGCGCCCAACGGAAGGTTTGACGGAGGTAAACTTACCGAGGTTAACCGTTTTGTCTGAAGAACATTACTTATCAATCCTGTTTTAAATCTTTAATTATTCTTTAACCTAATCATCGGATAAGTCAGCTAAGGCCTTCTGGGCATAAGGACAGTATTTTTCAAGGATATTAAGTAGAATATAAATCTTTAGGCGGTATACCGTATAGAAATATAATTTAATTGTGATTTATTGAAAAGAGAGTGAGTTGTTTGAAATGAAAGGATTTGCAAAGGGCCCCCCGCTGTGCTTTTCCCTCGCCGGCATACTTCATTGCTGAGCTTTTCTCCGCCTCACTGTCGGCTCTTTCTCTCTCACATCACTCGCCAACTCCGCTCCCCTCCTCTCCTTTTCCTTCACTGCTTTTCTCATCTTCTCTGTTCTTTCTCATTTCCAAAGCCAGTTAGTGGTTTCCAGAATCCAGATCTCTGCTGCTCCGCTGCGTCTTCTCTCCGGATTATATCATCCTCGGTGGCAGGGTATACCGTTGTCCTGCTGGCTTGGTGGCTGCGCGTCAAACTAGGGTTTCGAAGACTGCTGTCCGGGAAAGGTTATAGATCCGTGGGTTTTCCTTCTCTATCACCTTGTTTATTTTCTCCGTTCTAGTACATTCGTCCGGATTCAAGGGCCTCCGTGTTCAGGATCCGACTGTTTTTTGACTGTACATCTTTGCATCTTTGAAATAGTCCTGTAAGCGTTCTTCTTTCTGCATAGTTGTCTATCTGCGTGAAGTCTCCTGGATTCTGTCTTATGGTGAGGAGACTGTCCGCTCAATTCTATGAGTGCTACATTACTTTATTTTTGGTGTGACGGATCAGATGGAGTCTTACTCGCGTAAAGTTCTGCTGCGCACAATAACCACTTCGAGTTGTGTTATGGTATTACGTGTTGCCCGTATGAGAAGTGCCACCTTACTGTGGTTGTTTGAGTTTATTTACTTTAAATTTTGATGTTTGGTAAGATCTTTGAGAGTTGTGTCGTATTGTAGCTGAACCGCGGTTAACGTTCTCGGATTTCCGAGGATTTCAGTCGATCTACTCCCGTTTTCAATTTACGCCATCTTTTTATGGTTTGTTGGTGATAGGTCTCAGTAATATTAATTTTTTGTGATTGAAATAATACAGTCGTTTGACATTTTATGTTTATTCATCGGTAGGGGTCCTTTTTAGCGTATATGTGGAAGAACGTAGTGGACGATTCGTCTGATTTGCACTTATTTCACTGTTCTTAGCGTTGGAGAAAATTTTCTTGTGCCTTTAAACAATTTTGAACTTAATATCGCATTTTTTCCTGTACTTGAATGCAGGAACTATTTATTATTTATGATGTAAATAATGCAGCCATTTTGCTTTTTTATGTTTTTTCATCGAGAAAATTGCCCATTTTGACATATCTGTAGAAGGATGCGGTGGACGATTTGTCTGATATGCACTCATCTCACTGTTCTTAGCTTAGGCAAAAAATAATGTGGTTATGTTTAGCTTTTGCTAATTGATTTGAATTAATGCAGGGAGTTCTATTTAACAGCGCATTATAGCGTCTTTTATTTTGAATAATGGGAAAGTCACCTGGGAAATGGATCAAAACATTCTTATTTGGGAAGAAATCTTCAAAATCAAGTGTGCCGAAAAGAAGGGCGTCTGTAAGTTTGGCATAACGATAGAATTTATGCATTTCTCCTTCACTTTTTTGTCATCAATAATTCCTTAACATTTTCCATTATTGATATTTTAAAATTATGATACAACTAATGTCTCAGTTATTCTTTTAATTTTTATGACACTCTCTGCGTCTGTGCTGATCCTTTCCTATTTTTTAAGCAATTTTCTCTCTTTGAAAATTAGAACCGTCATTTTCTATTCATTGTGTGCTGTATGGAATTATCATGTCACCAAAGAATCTGTACTTCACGTGCATTTCTAGCAGCTCAAGCTTAAAGTGGTTTTTCTATCTGTTTGATTCGAGTCAGATAGTCGTTCAGCATTCATTTGATTTTTTTTTTGACGTTTGTGTTGTGAATTGAACCTTTTAATGTACTAGTACCTCCTATCAATTTGAGATGTTATAACATCATTCTACGTTGCTAAATTTGGGTTTTTTGAAAATCAATTCTAGTATCTAATCCCAATTATTGTTATTTTATGTCGTCACATAGTCATATCTTGTCTCCTATGAAATAGATATCGGTTTCCTTTTTCGTGTCTTTTGTTATTTTATTCTTTTAGTCATCAACTAACTATGTAGTTTTTCTGCTTTATGCAAAATGAAATTTGCGCATATCCTTCTCCAAGCGATTTAGTGGTGTTTTGTCCTTAAAGAAGTGAATGAGAACTGGACTCACTTGTCCTTTTAACTGTTTAATTATATGTTATAATATGCATAATTCAGGTAGATGCATTTTTCTTCTCGTTTCTTAATTTTCTCTAAGTTTCTAGTTCAGTAAGACATGCAAAAAGGAGCTTTTAATTTCAGGTGACCATTAAATCTAATTGTTTAACATACTCGTCATTCTTCTACTCATCAGGACGACGGATTTAAACTATAAACTAAGAAATCATCGGGACAACGGATCATGTAAATGCTATAAAACTAAGAAATCAGAGAAAATAGTTTTGAAATTCGGTATTTCAAAATTCTATAAAACTAACAAATGACAATTGCTGTGCAAAATTCTTCTGAATTTGTAAAAGTCTAGGATGTGTTTTTGGTAACATTTTATTTAAATGTTAATTACATGGTGATGGTTCGAACTACATCTTTCTTACTTTTATGACCTTGGATCACTTGAAAAATGTTTTAAAGTTTCAAATCTGCATCTATACACGTAAGAATTTGTGATAAGCGAATTGCCAGCATTTACGCAGGTAATATATATATATATATATATATTGACGACATTAGGAAATTTTGATTTGTTGAATTCCGGCGAATGATGATGACATTGTACTTTTTTTTTTCTGAGGCCAGACTGTTCGAAGTAAAAGGATTTACGTAGTATTATTCGAGTGTCTTAACAAGGATTTGATGTATACAACTTGTTCAGCTTGAATGCTAACCAATTATCAAAATATTCCTGCTAAATTGTATAACTTCGTGATGTGTTGGATGCACACATTCAGACACTATCAGACTAAGAAAAACTTGTAAGATTCAAATATCATGATTTTCCTCTGGTTGGTGATCGTAGCTTTTGGAAAAGTGGTAGACTAACTGTTGACACTGAGGTAAGTGGGTGGTTAATCAGCCGCCTAGCAATGAAGTAGAGCATTTCGTCATTCTGTAAATACTTCACGTACTATAGGCCTGTGCAACTGCAGATAGAATATGCGGCAGAGTGAAATAAGGAAGGCAAACATTCACATTGCCTGCAGAGTCTTGTTTGATTACATTTATGAGAATAGGAATCAGCATGTGGCCGGTTTCGTATGTTGTTTCCTAGATGCTTATGCAAGCCTTCCTTGAGGACAGATGGCCTTAGACTCTTTGAGCACTAATAATTTCTATGATGTAGAGGGTAATTTATACTGTGGATGTTGGCCGCGGGATCTAAGGTCAAGAATAATTTAAGCACATATTTGATCAACACATTTATGGATGCTTGTATATGAACTCATGCATGGTTTCTTGTTTGACGCATAACAGATTGCTGGGAGTAAAGTAAAGGAAAGCAGTTTTACACGGTTAGAATTTCTTTAACAAATTGAACTGGTGAGCTGGTTTTGGATTCTGCTTAGAAGCATAATCCCGTCTTAATTCAGGTGTGGATTAGTTGAGGTCACGAGGTGTGAATTTATTGATATTTACATGGTTCAGTATTTTCTTTTAACTTTCTTTACGCTCAGTTTCTTTTCTTTTTATCTAGAGTTTTTCACAATGTTATGGCATTCATTACGTCTGGGTACTCCCGTAACTCATTATCTACTCCTCGACATTCAGATTTAAACTTATATTTCAATTTTCTTTGAAGAAGGCTGCAAACAGCAAGGATTGGAATGGGGAGAAAGGGCCCACTTCGACGATAGATTCAGGAGTTACTTCAGAGCAAGCTCCCAATATCACCGATGGGAATGGAATGAATCCGAAGCTACAAAAGGGTGCTCCATCTGATCTACACGGTGGTGGGGAAATACTGTCATCCAAACAAAAAGGTTCGAGCGAAACAGTTTGTCCAGCAGTCAACACATCAACTAACTCTGAGAGATCTAGAGAAGAACTAGCCGCAATAAAGGCGCAAGCAGCATTTAGGGGTTACCTGGTAATGATCTATTCTGTTTCAGATTAATGTGTTACTTTTATTTATGATGCATGAGTAGAAATGTATGCGTGCATGGTACTTCTCCAGCTCTATTGATCTACTCATTCTTTAATGAGCACCACATGTAATTGCCACACCCTTGTAAAAGTTAGCCTCTTGCATCTACAAGTCACTGTGTTCAACTTTTACCCCGCTTAGTCATGAAAGAAAGTAGCAAGATTTTTGTTCTTCCAGGATTCAGAAAAATGTAAGGGGTTGCTTGCAGTCAACTTTGAGAACCCTAATAAATCACATTAATCAAATGCACATTCACATCAGTAAGAATGTAGTACTGATGCTTAAGTTTTCCTGCAGGCTCGGAGGGCATTTTGTGCGCTGAAAGGCATCATCAGACTGCAGGCCCTTGTTCGTGGACACTTAACCCGGAGACAAGCTCTTGCGACACTTAACTGTATGTGGGGAATCGTGAAGTTGCAGTCCCTTGTCCGTGGCTGTAGAGCGAGGAGCAGTATCAATTTTGAAGTTAAAAGCAGCTCATATCGTTCAAAGGTTAAGTAATGACCCTGACTCAAAATCTATGAGAGTGACTTTGCAGAGAGTATTAGGTTACGGTTTCCATGAGAGTTTCATATTATTTATTTCTATTGAGCTTCTAGAAGCAGAAATGATATCATTATTTCATACCGCATTCCTTATTTTAACTGAATTTTCCTAATGGTTTTGTGTGTCTCTTTTAAGTAACGTCGACGTATATATTTTTTCCCCTAGTCATTTCCTAACAGAAATGCCATTCCTTTTCTACCTCATCTAATTTAATGCAGAATTAAGTTTTTAAATTGAGTTTTTCTCAGGTTGGTAGACACACAGACCCTTTGGGAGTGAATGGGTTGGCAAACAAGGGGAAGGTTTCTAATAATGCATTCGTTCGTAAGGTACTCATGTGTTTGTGACTTGCAAAAGTAATCAATTCGTCTAAATTTAACCTGTCTAATTTGTTCCTTTTTTTTTTTCTAAATTTCTTATAGCTCGTCTCTTCATCAATTAGTTCAAAGCCTTTGGGATTTCAGTATGGCACAGAGGAACCCAATTCAGCATGGAGATGGCTGGATCGTTGGACATCTTCCGTATTTTGGAAATCACCTCCACAGCCGAAGAAAATTGCTGATCCAAAGCCCCAAGGCAGGCGTTATGCGATGGAAACCGAGTCAGGTAGATCAAAACGCACCATGCGGAAGAATTTTGGAGCAAATGCTGAATCAGGGTTGAATAATTCGGCTTCTGAATTGGATAAACCCAAACGCAATCTCAGGAAAGTTTCGAGTTATCCAGCAGACATTGTGCCGGAAAATCCACAATCAGAGCTCGAGAGAGTGAAACGTAGCCTCAGAAAGGTATCTAGTTCCATGGCAGAGGGTCCTGATCGAGCTGAGATTGAAACAGAGAAACCGAAGCGGAGTGTGCAGAGGGTTTCAAACTCATCTGACATCCTTGAGCAGGGTCTTGAGAATGGTTCAGAGAAATTGCAGACGGGTCTTGTGAACCTGTCACTGGGTACTGCTGCGACTGTAGTGGGCACCACGAAGCATAGCGTCCGGAAGGTCTTAAACGGGGATGTCGATCGGAATGCCAAGGATACCGCCGAAAGCGTGAAGAAAGATGCTGTGGATACAAAGATTTCTCGGAATGTCGAAGCAATTTCATTCCCGCCTTTGATAGACGAAGTAGCTGATGCAACAGTGGAGAATCATAATGCGCCTGAGTCAAATTCGTTGCCAAACCTTGGGAAAGTTGAGAGATCTACACATGCGAATGGGGAGTTGAGCGCTGAGGAGGAAGCGTCTGAAGAGAACCACAAGACCGGCAAGAGGAGGGCTTCGTTTTCTGCCAAGCCGGATTACCCTGAAAACGGGGTACAGAACACTCCAAAACTGCCCAGTTATATGGCTGCTACTGAATCCGCAAAGGCCAAATTGCGTGCACAGAACTCGCCAAGAATTGGGACGGATGAAGCTGACAAGACGGGTTTCACTCGGCGTCATTCTCTGCCATCTTCCATTAATGGAAAGCTCAACTCCGTATCTCCGCGGACTCAGAGACCAGTTCAGACAAGTGGGAAGGGAGCCCTCAGGAGCGACAGATCCCTTTTGTCTTCTCGAGATGGCAATGGTCAGTATTGATCCGACTCTGTTCTTCTCCCTGGAGCATTGCGATTTACCTATCCTTGTGGTTTCCCTGCACCATCATCGTGTTTTCATCGTAGTTCATAGCCTTCTTTTGCTCACTGGCTGTCTTTATCCTAAAATGAAGAAATAAGTGCTCGTAGTTGACTTGTATGCTGCAAATCAGGCCTCCCCTGATGCCTCTAATTTTCTTTTTTTCTACTGCTCGAGCTTTTTATTTATATCCTCTCATGAAAGCTGCTCTGCAAACTACGTGCATTTCCATCATAAAGATTAAACTTGGTGATCGGAACGAATTCGTTTTATCTATTCTTAGATAATCATGCACGAAATCCCAAATAAATATTTTTTTTCAAAAATATATTCTTGTTGTTATTCATCTCTGAATTAACACTGTCGGATATTGGATGTCATCTTATTCTGGGTTTAAACTTGCATGTATTGATTGGGTGAGGAAAAAAAATTAGATTGTACAAGGCCCTTTTATTTTTATTTGTATTTTTATTTTTGAACTTGGAAATACGTTGATCTGGACCCTTACACGCCATCTTGATTCTTTCTATCAGATAAGCCCGTCCAAGCGGAGTGGAGGCGTTGACTTTACGATAATCTCGACTCCCAAGGGCGATCACAGCCGTGAATTTCGAGGGTTCATCGACAGTCTGGTCTTGGGTTTGATCTTCTCACTTATGGATGTATATACGTGGCTAAATTTGAACCCTTAGCTGGTGTATAATGGGAGTCTGGAGTTCTGTCCGTGTATAGTTCAAAGGCCTTTGACCTTGTTCCGCCATGCGTCTGTTTACATTATTTAATGGTGTCTAATCGAACTCTGGTGTTCATCCTTCATTTGCGGCTGTTCTTGCGTTCTTGCCTGAAAATGGGTTTCTTCCTCGGATTTGAGTATCGTTACTGCATGCAGTGATTGATTTTTTATGGCTTCTCTGGAAAATGAGATGGGCGGGAGACATGGACGGGCCCGGCCTAATGTGGGTCTTTGGAATCCCGGGCCTGGCCCGATCATCTTAAATGGGCCCTGAGGCACTTAAGAAATGGATCCTCCAGGTAGATAAATTCCTCTGTGCTGGAAGACCACAGGCGGCCGCAAAAGGTCTGTTTCGGCTCGTACCCTCCTCTCGCCGGAGAAGCTATGCCGCGTGGGTGCTTGACGGCGAGCCATGAAGAGGCTCCTCGCCGCCCTAATCCAGGACAGCCTTCCGCCGCCTCAGCTGAAGCAGGCCCACGCCCTCACCGTCACCGGATTCCCCGACCTCGCCCCGCAGCTCCTCAAGTGCACCTGCAACTCCTTCGCCGCCGACTACGCCCGCCAGCTCTTCGACGCATTGCCCCTACCGGCACCGGGCGCCGCCGACGCCCTTGTGAGCTGCTGCTCCAAGCTCTCCCGGCACGCCGACGCGGCGGAGGCCTTCTTCTCTGCCCACCGCCGGCACTTCCCGGTGGAGTTCTTCTCCTTTCCGGCCGTCTTCAAGGCCTGCGCGCAGCTCGGCCTCTCCGATGCCGGTAGGCCTCTGCACTGCCTCGCCATCAAGCGCGGCGTCTCCTCCAACGACTTCGTGCAGAGCGCCCTAATCAATTTCTACTCCAAGACCGGCGATCTTGGCTCCGCCCGGCGGGTTTTCTCTGGGATCACCGCGAAGGACCCCGTCACCTACAACTCGCTCATATCCGGCTACTCCAAGGCCGGCGATGTAGCGGCCGCTCGCCGGCTGTTTGACGAAATGGCGGAGAGGACCGTGGTCTCCTGGAATTCGATTATCTCCTGCTATGGCCACAACGGGAATCCCGTGGAGGGGCTGAAGCTGTTCGAGAGGATGCTCTCTGAGGGCGGTGCTGTTGCCCCCACCGAAACCACCCTCGTCTCGGCGCTGTCCATCTGTGCAAAGCTCGGCGACATTGCCTCGGGCTTGAAGGTGATGAACCTGATCAAAGATCACAACCTGCGCCGGGATCTGATCGTTAGCACCGCCATCTTGGAGATGTACGTCAAGTGTGGAGCCGTCGACGAGGCCCGGTGCGAGTTCGACGCGATGCACCGCCGAGACGTCGTCGCCTGGAGCGCCATGATCGCCGGCTACGCCCAGAACGGCAGGCCGGAGGAAGCCCTGCATCTGTTCCAGCAAATGAGTTCCCAGAACGTCCAGCCCAACGAGGTCACCCTCGTGAGCGTCCTCTCCGCCTGCGGCCAGCTGGGCTCCGTCGACGCCGGCGAAGCCATCGGCAACTACGTCGAGGCCCGAGGCCTCGCCGCCGGCGTCTTCGTTGGCTCCGCCCTGGTGGACATGAACGCCAAGTGCGGCAACATCCAGAGGGCCCGCCGGATCTTCGACGAGATGCCCGAGAAGGACGTCGTCACCTGGAACTCCATGATCGCTGGCCTGGCCTTCAATGGCCTATCGGCGGAGGCGCTCGACATGTTCCGACGGATGAAGCACGCAGCCGGCGTGGAGCCCAATGAGGTGACCTTCGTGGGCCTGCTAACGGCCTGCACACACGGGGGTCTCGTCGAGGAGGGCCTCGCCATCTTCGACAGCATGAAGGCGGATCATCACGTCGCGCCGAGCGTCGAGCACTGCGCCTGCGTGGTGGATCTTCTCTGCAAGTCCGGAAGACTGGAAGAGGCCTTCGGCTTCGTGGCGGAGATGGAGGTGGAACCCAACGTCGTCATCTGGGGAACCCTGCTGAGCGCCTGCCGGCTCCGCTGCAACGTCGAGCTCGCCGAGCTTTGCGCGCAGAGGCTCCTCGTTCTGGAGCCCGATAACTCCGCCAACTACGTCGTACTCTCCAATCTCTACGCCGGCGCGGGGAGATGGGCGGACGCGTTCACCACGAGGGGAACCATGAAGGAGAAGCGAGTTCAGAAGACGGCTGCCAACAGCTGGGTGGAGGTGGATGACTCGGTCCACGTGTTCCTTGTCGGAGACACGTCCCACCCGCGGTCGGACGAGATTTACAGCGTGGCTCATGGATTGGGCCTCCTAATCGAAGTGGGCTAACCTCGCCCAAATCCTGATCTCTTTTTTTATTTATTTTATAGATCAGCCGATATTTATGTTTAAAACTGTTATTTATTTCAAAAATGAATTAATGATAATTTTATTTTAGATCCTTCCAAACAAAGTGAATTAGTGATCTTCACTAATTATCGGCCCCTTGGTTTATCAGTCGGACTTCTAGATCTTCACAAACTTAATTTTCTTATGTGCGTGGAATTATTTGCATTAATATATATATATATATATAATTATGTAAAAATGTGATTACTGACGTAGTTAATATCTCGATGTGCTAAAATATTTGCGTACTTTTTCATGTATCTTTATTATTCATCATAGGTTTTTTAGTCAGCTTATTATTGATTTTTTAAAAATGAAAAATATAATGTCTTTTTGAGATAGGCTAATTTTACATGTACTTAAAAATAATTTACCTAAAACTGCCATTAGGATGTCACCGGGCTGGACTGTCTTGACAGTCTCAGGAATGGACCCCAAAATCCCATAAAGGCAAATCGCGCGGCCCACGAAGTACCCTGACAAGGGCCCCACCTTCTGAACCCGTCTATGGATCTGCACACGTGGCAGGTCGTAGCTGCCAACGGAACGGAACCGTGACAGCAGAGGTCTCTCGCTCGGATCGTTCCAGATGCTTCGTCGCTTTCCAACTCGATAATTTCAGACTCACCATCGTCAAGATTATATTCCCACACGTGTCCCAACGCGGTTACCTTAAAAAACGCTAATTAAATAAATAATTACTTTTCCATCCTTACTTGTATAAGGCGAACTTTTCTACAAAAAAGAATCTCGTGACAGACTCTTTGCCGTTATCCGCTGCGGCTGCGCCACGCCTGCCTAAATAAAAAATATATTTATTACGTTTTCTTATCTTCATAAAAGTAACCAACCACTAAGATGCCGCCACGTAGGCGGTCCAGGACGATCCCTGCAGTCCTTGAATGCCAGCTGTCGATTGACACGTAGACAAACCTCGGACGGCAATCGCCTCTATCAGACGGGGAAGCCATTGTCGTCCCACCACCCCCTCTTTCTTCTTCTTCCCCCTCGCCATCGAAGCTGCGGCCATGTTCTCCGCGTCGGTGAAACTGGTACGATCTCCCGTCGGGCTTTCTCCGTGCTATCGAGGCCTACTCTCCCTGGGACGGTGTCGTCCCCACCGAAAAGGGAGTCTCTGCATGTCCTCGCGATCGGAAATGGACCGACCATGCGGTTCACCTGCGAAGGTATTCACCGTCCTGACAGATCGTGGAGACGATGGCGAAGTGAAGTCCCTTGGAGATAATAGAACTACCAGCGAATCTCGGTCGTCTACTCGCTCTCCTCCCTTTTTGCTCTTGAATTCGTCGCGTATTGAACCATTTTGCTCGGTCATCTCGTGAGTTTCTTGATCATCGCACTTGGCGCCTGTGATACTATGTCTGTGTCTCCCCTTCGTGTGTTGTCTGCTCTTCGTATAGTCTAGGAATTTTTATTTTTGTTTAAATTAAGGGAGGCGACGGGGATGCCAGACGACGATTGCTGACGATATTTTCGGCAGATCGCTGAACCGTTCTTTAGGAGGGCAATTTCGAGTATGGAGAAGATCTACCTGAACAGAAACCCGACTGCGAACGCCATTCTGGACCTCGTCCGTTCATACGACGGCGATAATATTTTCTACGATCATTTTGCTTTTCGGACATTTGGGGTACTTGCTTTCGCCCCTTCCCTTATATACTCGTTTTTTTGTTTCCTCCTAGAATGATAGAACGCGTTCGTTATCTTTTCGTGCTCTGTTTGTGTTCTGTCATTCGCTCTTGCCACGGAAGGTGGACGGACATGGGATTGATTCGATGGCTAAGCTCTTCGTGGACTTCGGCTACACGCCTCGGGACGAGCTGAGGTTCCCCGCTAAAAAGCTGAGGGCACTGTGGTTTGCGCCTCCTGCCACTAAGGATACTGGGATTCAAGGGCCATTGCCGAGAATCTTCATATCAGAACTAATCGTAGAGGAGATGAGCCGTGAGATCCAGGTGGGCTGGATTTTCCTCTCTTTATTTACATTTGGTTCGATTTGCGCTCTGATTTTTTGCTATATATTTCTTATGCTTCACCAGTGTGAGAAGTAGCAGATTCCCTTTATGAAAAAATCTTTTGCAGTTCCTATGCCATCCCGAGTGTTTCTCCGGCTCAGTTGGGGTTTGTGCGTCTGAGATCATTCTGAAAGAGAGGGCCATAAGAAGTTCACCATGAAAGTATGGGAATCAAATCGACGGTGTTTGGATCTCGGTTATCTGTGACACAACCTGGAATTATGATCGGCCTATATTCGGCCAATTGTGGATACCTTAATGACGTGTGGCAGTTTGTTTTTTTTTTTTTGTTCGTTTGATGGTAGTGCATTTCCTCTAGCTGTTGCCGCTCTGCTTACTTAGTCGACAGCTACCTTTATAAGAATGCCTTACCATGCTGTCATTCACTCTTCATTATCTAATAGGTCGCATCCTTATCTGCCGAACCTGCCTCGTCCTTCTCTGCTAGGATCCTTTGAAATGTTTTGGAAATATTCAGAGATTTACTACACGTTGTATGAGCTTAAAATCGACTGGGGTGGGTTTTCATCCATCTACGTCTCCCTGGAGCATCCTCTAACTACTCCGTCAAAGCTTTAGCCAAAGCGTTATTTGTCCTCGTTTAAGTTTACAAGCATACAATTTCACGCCAATTGCTATTTTGGTAAAAGAGGGGATGGGCAATGATGAGGGGAGTGCTATGATTTTACCCTCCCTCTTTTATCTCTACAAATTTGTCGCGCAATGCGTTATATTCTTATGATGGTGCATAAACATGCAGGAAACCATAAGAAACTATACCAAAACTTCTGGCTGTGGGGGCGATTATGCAGCTCTTGCGAGTGCAATGGGATCCTTAACATGGGACAGACCATTTTACTCCGACTACCAACGGCTTCTCAGGTAAACGCTGTGCATTCTTAATCGCTCTTCCTGCGTCCTCCTTTTTTGTGTTACTCACAGAGAAAGGGAACAGGATCAGCCTGAACCAGTAAAATTGTTGAAGACGAATTTATTCAGGATATATCTGTCCTATAAGACACAGCAGAAAAAGGAAAATATCTTTGAGTATCTAATCCAAATTCTCCATTTCATCTTGGAAATATCTTTAGTTCTTTGACCAGGCATGATATTTGATTGTTGCTTTCTTGTGTTACCTAAGAGCAACAATGACAGTATCAAAATAGGTTGCTAAATCGGCCGGATCTAATAGTATTCAAATCAAACGCCCTTCACCATTAAACAATGAATGAAGCTAGAAAAATCGACACAAATTTGAAAGCTGGCTAGATGAAAATGGCGTGAGATCTAATGAAATAAGCTTTCTTTCCTCTGTCCATCATTAGACCATAGGTGTAAATCACAAGAAGACGAAGAAGAAGAAGCAGCAGCAGAATGTTAATAATGTTAATACAGATTTTATCGTCTTCATTTTTGGTTAATTGTGGCACTGCTTTGCATGCCATTTGAGATAATTGGGCTTATATATACATGATTCTAACTTAGATTAAACTGTACCCGATTCAATCTCCAAAACAGTTTTTTAAAAGGAACGTCCAAATTATGCCTTACTTTTCTCTAGGAGTTGGCTTATTATCTGCAAGCATTAGTTTATTTGAGGGTTTGCTCGTCCATTTGTCAGTGGCTTCATGATCTTCAAGACGCCTTCCTGGATTGCAGGGAAAGCGAGTACGCTGCATGGACTCTAGTCAACGGATATGCGTTGAATCATGTCACCATTTCCACTCATCGGCTGAAGTCAAACATCAGAGAAATAGATACCCTCAACCAGTTCATACAGGAAAATGGGTACAAGCTGAACTCCGAAGGGGGCACTCTGAAAGGTTTGCCATTCTCCTTTAACTCGCCTCCTTGTGAGCGGTGATTTGGTCTGACCAATCTCCTCCGCCGAACAGTAAGCCCCGACGGCCTTCTGCGGCAGAGCTCGACGGTGGCCGACTCTACGGCGTTTACCTTCGCCGAGGGCGTCAATGAGACCGTCCCCTGTTCATACATCGAATTCGCGGAGCGGCTTCTGCTGCCCCAGTTCAAAAACTTGCCTGCCGAAGAGGTACGCTCGCTCACGGTCTTTCCCTTCTTTTTCCTTCCGCCATTTCAACAAGCATCAGTCCCCCATCTGTGGCAACTCTAGAGAGAGAAAGCGAGAGAGAGAGAGAGAGAGAGAGAGAGGACTTACAGCTTTGGGAGAACTTGACGACGTCTCGTGAGCTCTTGAGCAGGCAGAGGAGCGCCACAGGAGGGATGGTTTCGAGGTTGGGAATGCAGACAAGATCTTCGAGAGCACGTCGAATGATCAGCTGAAGCGGAGCGCCGCCTGAGGACGGATGGGGAATATTCCGTCACCGTGTAAGAATCTTATCATTTGTATCAGAAATTAACGCCCTATATTATTTGTCGGATTAATTAGTCATACATCCCCGTAAACTCCCCCCTTTCACTGCTCGTCCCCAGAAACTTTAGGGAATTAGATAATGGAAGGGCATTCCTCTGAATATTCTTCGTGCAGTTAGAAAATAATATGTAGCCATTCAATAGACGGTGAACTACTCGTAAAAATAATAAATATTTTCAATGTACGAATATAAAAAATGCGGCTTTGGAAAAATAGTTATTGTGAATAATGAAATATTGATTTTTTTAATGTAGGCTAATATATATATTGTTAATTATTTCAAAAAGTCGTAAAAAAGTTCAGTAATAAAATGAACTGATTTTAGATATTTCGATCTCACACGTTTTCGATTATTTTCATATCTTATAATTGGGTCATTTCACGAGATCTAGCTACATTAAAAAATACTAAATGATTATCACGAGCAAAAATCATCTTACCTTAATGTAATCAGAAGGTCAACTCTCCAAGGGAACGAGGACAGACAGTACTTGGAGGCCAACGCACCTCTCGAAGCGGATGAGAGATGGATGGAGAGCAGGAGAGGGAGATGCCCAAGCAGACGGACGGCGGGGGGATAGAGAGAGGGACAGGAGGAGAGAGAAAGAAAGAGAGACGGGCAGAGTGAGAGAGAGAGAGAGAGTAATTTTTTGGGCCGAGTTTAAGCCCAGCCCAGTACAAATTATTTGGCATGAAATCAGTTCGCCCATTTACGCGCCATCTCAGCCCGACCCAAATCTTCCAAGCTCTAAAAACTTTATGGGCCGTGTCGGTACCCTCGGGCCCATTAAGTGAGAGAGTTGGCTGGTCTTGCCTAATTAGGTGTTCTGCATGTGGACTACCAACGGAACTGGTCTGGCGGCGAGTCGAGGCAGGTGAAGCTCTCTCCGTCGTCGTCGTCGTCGTCGTCATCGTCATCGTCGGGCGACGGAGCTCTGGAACCCTAGATCGACGGAATTACCACCGTCGCTGCTGATCTGGGGATGGAGCAGCCATGGCGATTCCACCCCGGCCAAGGTAGTGCCCATCTCGCGGTCCGCCCTCCGCAGTTCCCCTTCCATGGCGGTGGTTTCCCTCCCGACGAACCCGGCCGCTACCCCGCGGAGGCGTCTCCGTTCTACCGGCCAGTACACGGCGTCCCGCCGTTCGCCGAGCACCCTCGCATGGTTTCACCGCTGTTGCCGCACCAGCAGCATGCGATGGCGCCGAGGAGCTTGGATTCTTGGAACGGGTACTCCCTCCCCCAGAGGGAGCAGTTCCGACACCCGTTCCCCCCCCCGGGGCGGAACTTTGCGGAGGAGGTATTGTACAGGCAGAATTTTCCGAAGAGGATGAGAGTCGGGGACGAGGTTCCGGGTTACTCTGGCAGTCATCAGCAGCCAGACAGCTCAGACTATTTGACGACGAGGATGTCGTCAGAGGATGAGCGTAGGCTGATTTTGATCAGGGATCATGGGAGAACGCAGCTGAACATCTCCTTTGACGGGGAACCGCGGCCTGACGGGGAGTACTTCCCCGGATTGAGGCATCCTCAGGAACGTCCGCCTTGGATTGGAATTGACCATGGTCTCCATGGTCCAGAGTCAGAAAAGATCGGGCACAATGGCCCAGTTACAAACAATCCCCAGTTCTTTAGCCAGAATAGCCATGCCCCGCGGGAAAGTTCGTATGAAGCGTATCAGGATCCCACGCGAACCGCAAATTTTCGAGGCTCTGACAGGTTTATTCGCTCCGAAGTGAACGAAATGGAGAGAAGAGATCGGGACGGCAGCAATATTGTTCGCCTAAGCTCATCCCATGGAGACATCAGTCAGTTGCAGTATGGTCAATCTGATGCATCATCACGTCCGTCGAGGAGTTACGGATACAATGAAAATTTGGAGGAAAATCCGGATAGATACATGGTTCATCGCAACCAAGAAACAAGTTCCAGATACAGGCACTCCTCCAGCGAAGATTCTGCAGTCAACTCACAACAATACATGGCTCAGTCTCCATTATTTATTACTTCTGAAGGTTCTCGGGGAAGGCTTGATCGTCCCCAGGAGGTTCAGCAAGTTGGGATTAGTGAACCTCAGTATCCTCAAGCTAATGGCTATCAAGTTCCCTATGTATCAAATTCGGGACGATATAATCATGTAGAGCATGATGTTCACAAACACGCGGAAAGGAAGTATGATGCTCACGTCTATGAACATCAGAATGCCCCGCATTTTGAGCATAGGCCCGCATTTCATGATGGCAGTTTGAGGCCATTAGAGCTTAATACTCATCGCTTGGCAAGCCAATCTGTTGTGCCAATTAATCAGATGCATCAGTTGTCCATGCAATATGGTAGTAACATTATTGCACCACCTGGAGGTCGTGGGCAATCATCTCAGACCTTACCACCTCAACCACCACCACTGCCGCCCCCACAACACATTCCAAGCCCACCTCCTGAGCCGCCTTCTTTGCTCTTCCAAGTTCCTTCTTCGTTACCCATGCGTCCTGCCGCCGCCCATTCTGTCTCCGTTCCGCCCTCTGTTGGTGTTTCAAGTTCCCATGCTTCTCGAGGTCGCTCAGAAGCCCCTGCTAGTTTAGAGCCCTACCTCTCTAATGGGCAAAGTGAGAATCCTTCGACTGGCTTTGCTTCTGAGGTACGAATACGCTGTGACCTCCTTTGCTTTACAATTCGTTTTACATCTATGTGTAGTTACTATTATTTTATTGCATCTTTGATCTCGTAGATCACCGATTTTTTTATGATCTCCCTCCCTGTTGTTTAGGCAGAAAAGTCGAGTCTTCTCTCTTGAAGTTTCAAAATGAGTAGGCAGAAAAGTCGAGTCTTCTCCCTGCAACAATGTAGTCAGAAATGACTGACTTTAATTTAGCATACTTGGGTTTGGTATTTATAAAGCTGCCTTCCATTACCTGCGGTAATTTTTCCCATTGTTGACTTGGAACTAGGAATTTGACAGCAATATTCGAACCTAACTCTCCACTGATATCGTATCATTTCTTCTTCCTATTGAAATATTTTATGAATGCGTTTCTCAAGAATAAAGTCTATTCATGTGTTTTCCTAAAGGGAATTTGACGAAAGTGTTTCTTTGGAGGTGGTTCTCATTGAGCTAAAGAAAGTTAATGGGAGATAACTTACTACATCCCATTTGCATTTCAGAATAGTAAGAAAATTCTTGAGAAAGTATATAAGTGAATCTAATCAGGAAATCTGAACAGTGATGAAAAAGTACTTGTACATTCCAGTTAAAAGGTCTCTCCAACTTTTTAAATGGTGTCCACAATGCCATCCTCATCATAGCACCTGATACTATCCCACCGAATCTCTCACCAGTTGGGCAAATCTAGGATGGATAAGGATCAGATCCTGTATCACTTTCTGCTTGTGCACTTAACTAAATGGTTTATTGTGTTGCATGAACTATAATCGTCCAACAATTATCCTGAAATTTCCTTCGGAATATTCAATTAAAAGGCGTAGACAGTTGTAAAAACTGTTGCCGTCTGACAATCAGTTAGGAATATGTTTTCCTTTTCAAATTCTTACCTTCTATACTTAAGGTTTTTCCTTTTTCATTTTGCACCATCGGATCACTAAGAATGGTTTTCAGCCCTGCTTGACGGGTGGGTCCTGTAGTCAAACTCGTTTCTGCCTTTTTACTCCAGGGTCACTGCCCATCTGGCCTAAGGATCCTTTGCACTCCCCCCCCATGATTTCATGATATATTATAATTTGAGGTCAACATACAGAACAAACCTTTGCACCATGTTTTGCCTTAAAAATGAGGGGTTTTCAATGGTGGACCTCAATTCAGATTCAATTGGATCTTTGTGGCCCAAGCTGAAACCCTAAACTACTTTTCAAGGTTTAATTGAAAACAGAAAGCCCATCATTGAAGTTACTGATTACTGGGCCTATGCTATCAATTTACTTTAAATGTACCTAATTGGGTCTGGAAACCCGAGTTAATAAAACTTTACTTTCGGTTGTCTTTACAAATGTGCCTCAAAGTCAGGACAGCCTTCCTGATTTTCGTTCAATCCATGTACGTTGAGTTGGATTGAGCCTCATTTGGTGGGGACGAAACATTCCGTTCGTTTTTATGGTATATAATGGTGTCGATTGTTTTTAGTGGTAGTTGCTACCTTTTTGCAACCTACAATATCATGGATAACATCGGCATCCGCGTCAATTTTTTTGGCAGCTACAGATGAATCACATTTGAGGTTAATGAATGCTTTAAAATGCATAAGGTATGTGTGGACAGATTCTGTGTCATACTTTAATATCGGTCATTCTCCCTTTAGTAAAATAGATCCTGTATTCAGTATTAGCAATCCCTGGTTTCCTTGATAGATTATTTTAAAATTTTGTTTGGAGCTTTTAGATCTTCATAATAAATAGGAGCATGAGGATTGGTTTTCCATATTTTTAGGTTTTCATTCCTACAGAAAAATGGTCCAACAAGCTGAGAAAAAATTCCAATTTAAATGACATCATAATATTATCCATTGCCTTTTTTTATTCTTCGGAACTTCTGCAGATGTTGAGTTCTTCTCATGTTGATATGTTGGTCAAAGTATCTCTGCTGAAAGTATTTGAGGTTGCCATTAATTTTACTTTAATGGTTGCATTTTCTTTGTGCATTGAAATTTTTCTTGTTGACGTAGGCGTCGTTTCAGTTTTCAAGGTTCATTCTGCTAGAATAGGTACTTTTCATTGCTATACACATTGATCTACATAGTGTTTGAAATCAAAGTTAAAAATATTACCCTCACGTGCTAACTTTAGCTCATGTTATGCCATCAGTAATTGTCTTTAATGTCAATCTAATATGTCACTTTGCAGAGAGGACCGTTCCTCCCACAAGCACTGTCACAGCAGCATCTTCAGGGGAGTGAAGCATTTCCACCTAAGCATGCCTTGAAGGATAAAAGAACTGTCATTGATGCTTCCCAGATCTTTTGCAAACCGCATCGAGCATCTCGTCCTGATCATATTGTAGTCATCCTTCGTGGTCTTCCAGGTAGTTTTTCCCATAAGTGTTATTCAGTTCTGATGTTGTCTTTGAACTACAGAATCGTCTTCACCCCACGAGCTTCTATAGTCCAGAATTTGGTTATATTGATCATTCTTTCTAGTTTATGGTTCACAGGACCATGGAAAAGAAATCATCTAGAGAATCCATGAATTATTTGTGAATCATATATGTAGATATTTGCGAAATTGAGGTGCCAATCTATTAATGCGTTTGGATATCTTTTGGTATTAAGGTGATGGTTTTAGTGACAATATTCATAATATGGTGGGTTTTGCACTTCTCTATTTAATAATGATTTTGATATGTCAATTTCTTTGAAAGTGGATGACAGTTATGTTCGTTGTACCTCAATAACAAAGAAACGAGCAGAAAGAGATATAGTTATGTGGATAATTATATCTCCAAAACCCCTTTAAACCAGCAATGATCTACACCAAAGTGGTGTAGACCACAATTGAAACATATATTGGCCAAGATGGTACAGACAGCTCCTTAAAATGGCTGTTATCACGACAGATTTTCTTGGGTGTCATATGCTTTGGAGGCAAAACTCCCCGGAATGTCAAAGTCGATATATGTGTAATTTTAATCCCGAAGCTGGCACGATTTTCTGGATTCTTTTGAGGAACACATTTCTTTCAGTAAGATTGTGTTGCATGTACATAAGAGGCCATAAATGAGGTTGGCATTACATGTTCAGTGGTCGACACAAATTTGGCAAATTTGAAGATAGCGAAGATACCTATTTGGGACAAAATTAGAATATCCTACGACCGTGTTTTATTTTGGTAAAAGGTGGTACTTTCACCTCAGATAGTGCATAAGGTGCACCAATATATGCTAATGAAAACAAAACGTGATTAATGTGCTACATCATATTTTGCTTATAGAAGACATAGGTACCAAATCTTAGATTCATCCAGGATAGTGTTCTGGCTGGGTTCTTGACAGGGAGTCAAGGCGTTGAGTGGCGATGGTCTTCATGATGGAGGTGTGGAAGACTATTCCATGAGTATCATGTATCCTAATTTGTGCTTGTACCTCTATGGAGGCGGAAAAGTATTTATCTTTATTCTGAAAATTTGGCACTAGTCCGACTGTTTTTAATCGGTACAAGATAGATTCAAATCTTGACCTTTTTGGCAGAAAATGCGTCTTAGGAATGACAGCTGCCGAATTCCTTTGTCTCTGGAACTTGTAAGATGTTTCATTCCCTTTCAACTGTGACAAGAGGGAGGATTGATGACAATTATGAAATCTATGGGATTCCCGTTGCAGAGATTCGCACTGGGACATTCTCTTGCCTAGGATCTTGAAGATGCTGATTTTGGACCCTGTACTCGAATGCCTATTTGTGCCGATGCAGGAGCAGGATAGTAACTGTAGGTCAATCCTGCAAACAAAGATTGATTAAGGGTTATTGAGTTTCTGTTCATGCTAGGTGGGAGTGTTCTTACATCCCTCCACTATATCCAGATCAGCTCTTGGATGGTGCTTGGGCCATTGGCCATATCCCTTGGCAGCCAGTGCTCTAACTGTCGTCTATTGTCTCTTGCCCATCACTGGACCTTAATAAGTTGCTCTGGTGATACCGGCTATGTTCTCCTTATAGAAAGAAAAGTCCTCCACCACTATCTTCATCTGATGATGCCAGCAATCATCAACCCCATGGTTTTCTCTTTGGGTAGTGGTCAGTACTTCCAAAGTTTTGTCCTCATGGGGGTTGTGTCACAGGCATCACAGACCTTAGGTTTGCCTAATGGTTTCTTCCCTCTGTGGACTTGAAAGGAACGAAATGGGAACGGAACAGTGGGAAATGGATTATTTCCGTACTATGGTCTTCACAGACTCTCTGTACTAGTGGTCATTTTCCTCAGGGGCCTTGGAGAATGTCCACTACTGCTGTGGATGCACACGTCTTCAAGAACCAAAATAAATAAAGGGTGCTCTATGGAATTCGCAAATCCTTCGCAGAAATGATCCTTTTTTCCCTTGCTATCTTTAAAATGCATATTATTTGTATTCATGTCCGCTAGGTATTTCTGTAACGTCTCATCCATTGCCTGTCATATATTCTTTGTTGGGCAGCTTAAATTTTTCACTTTTGGTAGTTTTAAGCTTGTTGCTTGCACTCCTGCTAAATTTATTTAATTTTGAGGGAATAATTGCTTCATGTCATATCCTAGGAAGCGGAAAGAGTTACTTGGCGAAAGCACTTCGTGATCTGGAAGTTGATAGTGGTGGTAGTGCACCACGTATTCATTGTATGGATGATTACTTTATGTCTGAAGTTGAAACGGTGAGCTGCTTAAGGCATAGCTAAAGTATTCTTAATTGTAGACTTACGTTTTTCTTGTTGCTTTATCCTTTATTATTCTGCACTACTTTTTTGCTGAGGTTATCAGTTATGTACATATATTTCTTGAAGGTTGAAGATGGTGATGTGTCCAAGTCCTCTGGGTCAGTCAAGGGGAAGAAGCAAGTCTCTAGGAAGTTTGAATACTGCTATGAGCCTGAAATGGAGGAGGTGATGCTGCATATATTGATCGCTTTAATTCCTCTTTTTTAATTTTTCTTAACCTGTTTGCGCTTTGCACGTTTATTTATGTACATAACCAACAACCCTGGCATAGTATTGATCCTATGAAGGATTGTTTCTTTTATAAGGATTAATCAATGTACTTCCAAAAAACTATCATTTATCGATTTTCAATATGTTATGGGGGGATGTCCATGGACAATGGAATAGATACAAAAGGATCTTTGTTTGGGTTGCTAACTGCCTTTGCTTGGCCAAAGTTGGCCCAGTCGGGGCGGATCTTTCCAAGCTTGAAGAACAAAAATGAATCCAAAAAGAAATTGGACATGGCACAGTCTAATCGTGTCTGGGTCTGTCCGAGAAGATAGAATCCCACCCAAAATTACCACATAACTCCCCCACCTCATCGTAAGTATGCATGCCTTTTGACGTGTCTTAAAGAAGAGATTCCGTGTACTTTGTTAAGGCAGGTATGGACAGGTCTGTGCGTCAGAAAATTAATGAGCCCAGCCGAGAGCCTTTTTCCTGGGATTTTCTCCAGCCTTGGCCTTGTAAGACTTGTCAATGGTGTCTATAATTTCCTCTCCTTAACACTCTGTTTGCCAGTTGGAACTATATCTCTTAGGGGAGTCGGGAAAATCATTTCTGAATGGAACATAAATCAAGAAAGCCGTCAAGTTCGTGGATCGCATCTATTGTTCAAGTATGAATGGTATATTGGTTGTTGGGTGTGGATTTTTTTCAATTGGGGTCGCACATTGCAGTATGCTAGTATTTAGTACGTTCAAGGGACTTCTGAGCTGTTTTCTGGGAATGGATTTGACGGATATTATGGAGGGATCACTTACGGCTTCTTGTGATTTCCTACGTAGTTAACCATTTCTTGAATATGTCGGATGCCTGCATTGAAATGGTAATGGCTGAGGTACCCTTTAATGTCTGTTCTTTGTATTTTACTGTCGTCCCAATGCTCGAACATGTAACTGAGCCCCGTTTGATTTAAAATTACTCAGATGCAAGTGGCAGTTCATTGCGAATGACCATTTTCCAAACTTTGAGGATAAATCTCTGTTAATTATCTTGGTTTTTATTTCCTTTTTTTTCCGATTTTTGATTTGAATGCTGCTTCAAATCTTGAGTCAATTACACTTTTTTGTCAGGCGTATAGGTCCAGCATGCTAAAAGCATTCAAGAAGACAGTTGAGGACAGGATTTTCACCTTTGCAATTGGTAAATATAGTATAGTCTATTTAGTTCAGATTTTGAAAAGTGGAGGATAACCTGAAACGTTTTGTGAAATTTCACCTTTATGAATGCTATTTTTAATTTTTTTTCGTTACTTTGACTACTTTTTGTCTATCATTTATTGAACCTTACATGGTTATAGATTATGATTTCTTTAGGATGGGACGGATCATGTGTTAGAACTATATTCTAAGAATCGTTGACTGTGGAGATTATATCATCACTTTTAGAACATAGAAAATATTATTTTCTCTCTGTTGTCCACCTTCTGTTTTCTACTCCTAAATTTAAGTTGTTTTGAATGCGTGTCTAGAATGAATGTGTATGGAAGCTTTCCTCATTGATGCATGCCTCTTGGTTGAATGACATTTGTGGTCAACAAGTGAATGTTTTAGTATAGTTTTTGGATGAATCAACGAAGTGCAGTGCCTATGCAGCGTTCACTGCCTTCGATATCACTAACTACTGGTGCAGCATTGTTCGGCAACTGACTCTTTGTTGCTGGTATGTGACTCATTTTAGTGGATGACCGCAATCTGCGGGTAGCTGATTTTGCTCAATTTTGGGCAATTGGAAAGGTATACCTTCATTCTCTCAAACATCTTCCTTGAATATTTTTATAGGCTGTAATTCAGTACATTTTTTTTTTCAATTTCTTAAGTGGAGGGTATTATATCAATAGAAAATGACTAAACAACTTTTTCAGCCTAAGCATATGAAGAAAGTCAATGCAATAAAAAAGCCTCCTACAATCTGATGTCTTTGTTTACTTATCAGAAAAAATGAAAAGGGTCAGGAAAGTTATCGAGGGCATATGATTTTCTTGTGCCGAGCTGCGAGTGGGACATTCCTTGGAATACTATTTATTCAAAGGGGAACATGAATTTTCTTCCCTTACTCTTGGATTGCTGTTGTGAAACTCATAATTATTTGAAAGGGAAATGCTTTGGTCTTTCTTTTGTATATCAGGGCTAGTTTAGGGATTGAAAGGGCATACTATTGGTGCGTACAAAATTTGCTCGTCATGCTTCATGGGAGATTGCGTTTTTCATTTTAGTCAGCAAAATCTGTTTAGTAGAAAATAAATACTACAGAGGTATCATTGATTTTTTTTAATTTGAGAAGCCACTCGAGGATGGGGAGGTTGTAGGATTCGAAGTTGTGAGCAATCTTTATGCAGATGAAAACATCATTGGTGTCGAAGTAGCAAGAAGGGTTTATTGCCATGGCCACATTCTGTTAACCTTAATGCATATTATTTGGCTTTTTTTTTTGCAGCTTATACTTATTCCTGCCCTCTATAGATGTTTCATATAAACATGGCATCCCAGTTATTACGCTGATCATATGTGGTGTACATTTATAAAACAAAAATTCTGGACGCACATGCTTGAAGGCTTTATTTTGGTTTTGGGAGAAAATGTAGCGCGTTGGTCTCATCCCTCTCTTTTCTAGTCATTTTTTTTTTCGTGAGCGCCTGTCACTTAAAGTGTTACACCGTTGCATTTGCATGGCACTTAAAGTGTTAGGTCAACGTATAGTCCTGCATTGTGTAGTTATTTATGATTTCTGTGTAATCTACATGATTTAAGCGACTTAAGTTTACTTGCTTGTCTTTTCTCAATAACAGACTCTAATCTTCAGTAAATAGCACGAATATCATTTTGATCTTAGCTTGCACTTCTGGAGTGTTGTGATTAAAACGTTGTTCATTTGGTTTGGATTGTTTGACTGTTTATTTGCCTTAGCGATCGGTGTGTCAACTTTATTTTTTCCCATTCCGGTGACACATCTATGGGAAAATTTTGATTTTATGTTTGACATTCTTTCATCGTTTTGATTATGCACGCCGCCGTCAGAAGATCAGTGATTAATGCTACCATTATTTGTGGACTGGAAGCTTTATTCTTTTATTATTCAATGTCAAGGTGAAATATGTTTTTAGAACCACTACGGAACAAGTACTCTAGTGCTGATGTTGCACTAAAGTCTGTCGGAAACATATCTTTGTTTTATTGTACTTGCTCCTGATCTTCATGCTTAACGTGTCCTTGTGATTGTGGTCATTGTGGTGTCTATTATGACTTTCTAATCTCTTTTGAGTTTTGTCCCCATTCTTGCATTCCCCTCATTCTATTTTTTAATTTAACCAGAGGTCGGGATATGAAGTCTACCTTGTAGAAGCTCCATACAAGGATCCAACTGTAAGTTGTCTTCTTGATTTTTATTTTTTTTGGAGTATCCAACTGACATGTGCATAATATCCGGTCAAAGTGTATGTCCGACTGGCATATGCTTATTTCTTGCTGGCGTGAAAAGTCAGTGCTATGCACGCCAATTTTAGTAGCGTCATTTAGCTTTCACATGTTCATCTTCTACTTCTGATGTGGAACGGCAGGGCTGCGCGGCTAGAAATGTCCATGGCTTCACTTTAGATGACATTAAAGGGATGGCTGAAAGATGGGAAGAAGCGCCACCTTTCTACTTGCAGCTAGACGTTCAGGTGCGTTTGAGTGACTATCACCTGTAATCGGAATAAAAATCGTAAACATTATGGACAAACAACAGATGCTCTTACCTCCCATGAAAAGTGAATTTGTTTACGTACTAATTAATCCTTTTGACTTATCATGTTTACCTTGATGATTTGACAGTCATTGTTTCGTGGAGATGATCTTAATGAGAATAATATTCAAGAGGTAATCTTACGTTTCATTTTGACAGAATATATTTACATCCAACAGTTGCATTGTTTTGAGCATGCTGGAGTTGGCAGTCGTCTTCATATTTTCTCGTTGCTATTTTTTTTTTTTTTTTTTTTCAGTGTATCCATAAACACCTGTTATGGCAAACTTGCAGCTTCCCATTTTTTTTTCCTTCCAACAGTTCGACTAATATTTTCATGGGAGGGTGAGTATCTAACGTTTGTTCCTCCGAGATATCTTAATAGATGCGCCATGGACATCTGTTATTGTTTCAGGGCATAGTGTTTGAGTTATAAAAAATTGTTCTTTACTCTAAGTAAATTTGCAAGATTTTCTATAGTTCTCTAAGCCTTGTTCTGTTTTCTTCCTCATCGACTCTAGTTTATTAATAAGGGTTTTTGCCTGGGTTTTGTCACCTTCATTTTTCTGTTGAAAGTCATGTAAACCTTTTATTATGCTATTATTACTATTCACTATGGTTGCTTATTTTCTCAATAATCTCCTTCTCCACACCCCCACAAAAAAAAAAAAAAAAAAAAAAAAGGTTGACATGGATATGGAGGATACACCTCACGAGGCAAGGGTTACCTTGGAGGCGCAAGATGAAAAGTCTCCTTGGGTTGGAGAGCAGACGTTGACTGACAATACGCGGAGAGGTACTTATTATCTAACCCAACCATGATTATAGATGTGCAGTCTACTGACGATTGTTGCATCATGACTTGATGAAGGTAACAGCTTCAGTGATAATCCGCTGACTGTGGCATTCGACCAGCTTCATCATGTACCTATATGTCGCTGGGGGGGAATGGGTTTTTCTTAATTCCTTGTAAAAAAGAAATCTTCCTGCACGAATTGTTCTGGGTATTTGTCTGCTAAAAAAAATGGGGACGGGAAGCTCTATGAAAAGCATCCTCTAGACTTGGATCCCTACCTAGAACATCTTTTTTACCTGATGAAATCATGAATAATGAAGATTACCAGCTGCTCAAGTGATAATCGTTGACATGTCCATATATAGTACATGATTGTGGATATGCCAACAGTGAAACTCCCCTTGAATGTGGATATGTTCCAATCCTGAACTCACTTAATCCACTCGTCTAGAAGCTGCAAACACTGGAGAGAGATGGGTCACCGAGGGTGAAGACATTGCAGAAACACGAGAGCTTGGGAAGAGTAAATGGTCGGAGGATCTTGACGAGGATGTTGAGGAGACAGCTGGTGCTATCCGGCGACCCAACGCGCTCTCTGGGTTGATCCAAGCATATGCCAAGCGTGAGAAGTCTGTTCGCTGGGGAGATCAGGTATTTAGTTTGATCTTCTTGCTAGCTATCGCCTTGCCTTGGAGACTGTTTCCGACTGGCTTTGCTCCGGGATTTGCCTCCTGACGAGCCGCTTTCCAGGCTGAGAAGAGGGGATTCTCCATAGGAGCGTCCAAGAACCGAGCCAGCTCCGCCCTAATCATCGGCCCTGGCTCGGGCTATAATCTGGTCAGCCTCGTCCCCTCCCCTTCCGAGCTTCTTTGTTCTCCCGGTGATGTCGGCCCTTCTCTGAGAAACTGTACATGTTTTGCCCGCAGAAATCCAACCCCTCCTCGGCCGGGGAAGGGGGTTCCGGCGACGCGGCTGAGGGGAGCGCCGCCAACCCCTCGAGGAAGAAGTCTCTCTTCCTCGACCACATCCGCGCCGAGCGGGAGTCCTTCAGGGCCGTCTTCGACCGGCGGCGACAGCGCATCGGCGGGTTGAATGATGCAGATGATGACTAGCGCCACCAGTCATCATGGGACTTTGCTCCCTCACTCTCTCTCTCTCTTTCTCCCCATCTTTTCTGTGCGCGCGAAGCACCGAATGCTGTAAACGTCTGCTTCTTATTAATTCTCGGTGTTTTGAGGCCAGGCCAGTGTCGATGGGCCGGGCCCCATCCTTCAAATGGGCCTTCAAAAATGAGCCTAAACCTGAAAATGGGCCGACAAAATGAGCCTGAAAATAGGCCCAATAATGAACATGTAAAATTATGATCCCCCCATAATTCCGTCGAGAATTTTTAGGACCTTATGCGCGTGGTGTCGTAATGGGGAGGACGAGTGTTTTGTCTCCCTCTTGCCCTGGGTTGAAAGAGTCCATATGTGAAATAACTTTTTGGTATGAGGGTATATATGGAAACTCGTGTATAAAAGGTTAGATTTGGCCTTTGACACCGAGGATTAGCGGTCGAGGATCTCCGTTTGACACGTGCGAGACTAGGACCGCCTCCAGGAGCATTTTGGCGGCAAATCGCCCGGAAAATTTGTGAATACCTAAATTGCCCTCGGCAAGTAAGTCGGCCGGGGGTGGTCTCTCAGGTGGGGAGGGGTACTATATGTACACGTTTTCAGTTGATCGACAGACGGAGGGGTTTCAGCGCGAGTGAGAAGCGAAGGCTGGGGGCGATCGGTCTGGCGAGAAACCGGCGACTCAGGGGTGCTGCGGGAGTTCGGCTAGGTTGCGGGAGATGTCGGACGGCCATCTCTTCAACAATATTCTCCTGGGAGGACGCGGTGGAACGGTGAGCCTCTCTTTCTGTGTCCTGTCTGGGTCGAGCAGGGGTTTCGGGGGTCTCTCTTCCGAATTGTGCTAGGGTTTCGTTTTTTGTGTCAGGAGATGAAATGTGATAATTTAAATAAAATAAACGTCGAAAATTATAAATGAGCGGAGATGTAACAGGAAAAAAATAGAGACAAAAATGGGTAGTTTTTTTTTCGTATTGTCGTGATTCTCTACACTCTTATCTTTTTATGCATTCAGGAATATATTAAAAAAATAGGATTATTTTTCAGTATTTGAACACTGGTTTAGCCTATTTTTTGTTTCATGACTTCACGGATACTCATGCTGACGATTATGATCCCAGAATCCAGGCCAGCTTAGGGTGCATTCAGGAGGGATCGCATGGAAGAAGCAAGGCGGGGGTAAGGTGGTTGAGTTAGGCAAGTCCGATATTGCTGGAGTGACATGGATGAAGGTTCCGAGAGCTTATCAGCTTGGTGTGCGAATAAAAGATGGCTTATTTTACAAGTTCATTGGCTTCCGCGAGCAGGTATGTGTGCACTGCTATCAAATGATTACAGTGCGGGATGGCTACTTTTATCTGTACTCTTAAAAGAATTAAAGATTGTACCTTTCTATATATGAATTGTTTTGGCTAAACCTTTCGCTTAGTGAACTTCATTGGTGACAACAATTTTTATGATGCATAGCATGTCTATGTTCAATGGGTTTTTGTTTGGTTTGGTATGTTATAGGACATCGATTGTTAATTTTATTTTTTTTCTCAGGTTGCTTTTTGTTTTCCTTCTGCTACCTGTCACTTTTCAATAATTTTCTTGTGTGATGTAGGATGTAACAAACTTGACAAATTTTATTCAAAAATCGATTGGGATAGCACCAGAAGAGAAGCAGCTCTCTGTCAGTGGCCATAACTGGGGAGGTATTGATATAAATGGTCAGTGTTTCTCAAGCTGTTGTGAAATAGTTCACTCACTCACTCACAACTTTTTCCTTTTTTTACCTTGTGACTTTCGGCGTGTTGTGTCATCTCTAGATGTTTGTTCAGTGGGATAGGAAAGGAACAGAAATCTCATTATAGAGAAGATTTGAATGCATGTATTTGCTCTATCCACATGACGAATCATTATGAAGCTCACAAAGGAAAACAAGTGAAATCGTAGTGTACTCAATGTCTCGTTTGTTTCAATGGGTTCCCTTTCTATCGGAAGAAGATTTTTTGCCAATGTATATTTTATAGCACCTTAAGATTTTCATTCTACCAATGTAAATGCATGCGGTAAAAAAGGTTTGATATCGTTCTCTAGAATTATGTTACGTGGGGAATGCCTGGAGATAGTAATGTATTCAGATATCTGATGCTTTTTTTTGGACACGAAGATGACATCTCGTGGTAACTATGGAAGGGCAGCTAGACTGCGAATACTTCATAGTTGATAAACTCTTTTACTTTATAGAGCTAGACGGCATTTGCATTAAGGAGACTTGGTCCTATATTCTCTTTTCTTGGGGCAGAGGACATACTTGCCTTTTCTGGATCGAGTGGCTGTGGGTATAGTTTTGGTTTGCCATTTTTCCAGGGTTGTTTATGTGCATTGATTTCAAATTGTTCATCTTAAGTTTTACCTTACATGGAGTTCGTTGGTTATATATTGATTTACTCCCCACCCACCCACCATCCCGACTCACTCCTACACACTTGTTCAGGGAATATGCTCACTTTTCTGGTGGGTTCAAAGCAAGCATTCGAAGTATCCTTGGCTGATGTTTCACAAGCTCAACTGCAAGGGAAGACTGATGTATACTTGGAGTTTCATGTGGACGACACAACTGGAGCTAATGAGGTTTTCTGTTTTTGATTCAAAATAGTATTTTATGACTAGTGTGTATTTTACATTTTATCAGTTCAAGTTTAATTTAAAAAATGTTTTCATTATGATGGGGCTGCCAAAGACTCCTTGAAGCGAACTGCACTTTTATACCACGTCGGAAAATTTGTCTCTTGGATTTCTCTCATTAACTAAGTTGCTACAGAGATTTTGGTAATGAAAAAAAATCAGATACTTATCGTTTTAAAGGCTTTGAATATTTTGGATTTTCTTCATCTCTTCAGCTCTTTGAATGTAGTGATTTTTCAGTTATAAACATCATAGTTTGATTAACATTTCACCTATTTTATAATTTATTTTATTATGAGATGATCACAGTTTGAGTTACGGATTTATTGATACGCAAATGGATTATTGCTCGATACTTCCTCCTTCCAGTCCTGTCTAGCTTTTTGAAAATTTCCAGTATGACACACACGTCTTAGCCTCGAACCTATGTTAACCTCCCACAAACCGTAGAGAACATATACATCACCCTATCATGATGTGAATATGATTGTTTAGTGTGAATATTTTCAGGTGCTAGTGTTGTGCTTAGTAGACTTCTTATTTAAACGTGATTTGAGAATTTTATCATGAAAAAAAAAGTTTTGGTGCCTCACAGAGATCACAGACCATGGACAGCGCGTACACCGCATTATTGGGATGTAATGAATATGATGTTTTAATCTTGAGAGTTTCAGTACATTAGTATGGATTTTAGTAGATTTATTTTTTGAAAATTCCTCTGAGAAGATATGTACATTTCACCATGAAAATGGGAAAAGAGTTGGCGAATTAAGCAGTAGTTTTATGGGAGTACGTTTTATACATTTGTACGGCGACGGTTTTGATGCTGCATCTCATAATATGAAGCTAAAATATTTGTAACTCTAAAAGTGGACTTAATTTATTTATTTTTCGGATATATCTTAGATTATTGGTAGAATGTGGATTCCACGTTTTTGTTTGTGTTTTCAATACTTGACTAAACTAAGAAAATCCCACCATTTAGGGACTCTATGTGACCATAAATTCTTTGCTTCTGTTATCTCAGAAAGATTCGTTGATGGATGTAAGCTTTTATGTACCTAACTCAAACACCCAATTTGTTGGTGATGAAAGGCATCCTCCAGCTCAGGTAAGATTATATTTTTTCCATTTAAAGCATGGTATGAGATTTACTGTGAGAAAGATGAATGAAGATGACGTGTTTCTTTTATTAGGTTTTGCTCGACAAAATCTCTTCAATGGCGGATGTTGGTTCATCCAGTGAAGAAGCTGTTACCACATTTGAGGGGATCGCCATTCTTACTCCAAGGCATGGAACCCGTCTCTGAATTTTCATCAGAAACTCCTTGCATGCCTTTTCTAGATTAAAAAATTTCTAGACGGGACATGAGGGGCTCTGACTCAGGCTAGTTCAAATCATTTCTGGGAGGACCAGATCATGGAATGACCTCAACCAATTTTACAACTGAGTTAAAATCGATGTAAATTTGAAGTCATAGGTTTCATTTAAAAATTATGGTATACCGACTTCCACAACTGTGGAGTCTTCTGCCATTCCTTTTTGTTTTGGGATGCGGGAGAGTTTCAAAATCAACTCTGGCAACCCTGTCAAATAGGGCTACAGTACAGTCCATTTTCTATTCGTGGGTCTGACAATTGTTGATATGTCTGTGCAGAGGGCGCTATAGCATTGAACTTCACCTTTCATTCATGCGGCTACAAGGACAGGCCAATGATTTTAAAATACAGTACAGTAGTGTTGTTCGCATTTTTCTTTTGCCCAAGGTATTCGTTTCTTCTTTATGTAAAAATGATATGTCGTAATTTTTCTTATTCGTAAAATGCCATTTTTCATCTAATTGTTGGTAATTAATACAATTCTCTATTGCATCTTCCTCATGATATTCACTTTGATTTTTTCAGTCTAATCAACCGCACACTTTTGTTATTGTTACTCTTGATCCACCAATTCGTAAAGGACAAACAATGTACCCACATATTGTGCTACAGGTATTGCTTTGGAAGCACGTTCCGTTTGGATTTTTTGTGATATTTGTCTTCTCATTGGTGTGACTTGGCTGTTTTTCTTCTTTTGTTTTCGTTGTTCCCTTAAAAGTTTGAAACCGACTATGTGATTGAAAGTAACTTGGCAATAAGCGAAGAGCTCCTGGCGGCCAAATACAAGGACAAGTTGGAAATGTCATACAAGGTAATTAGTAAATTGGTCATTGTTTCATATTCCCGTTCTCACACTTTTACCTTGCTTGTCCTCTCACACATGAACGAGTTTATGTCGACCCGCAATCTACTATTAAACTGTTGCTAAAAAAAATTATGTTAGAGAAATGTATGAGCTGAGGGTTTTATGCATGAAAAGTCATGTCCGTTGATTTTTATTGTCATAAACATCACTGACCTAGAACTAATGTTGGAGAGAATAATGCATTTCCTATTGTGTTGGATTGATTATGTTCAATAGTTAGCATTTTATTTTTTGCATTTCATATTTGGTGCTTGACCCGTTCACCTAGATTCCGGTGGCAGTAAATATTCTCCCGTCTAATTATATTTTAATGGAAACTTCAGGGTCTGATTCATGAGGTCTTCACTTTGGTTTTGCGTGGGTTATCTGGTGCTAAAGTCACTCGGCCAGGAAAATTCCGCAGCTGTCAAGATGGTTATGCTGTGAAGTCGTCACTGAAGGCTGAGGATGGTCTCCTATATCCTCTTGAGAAGGGCTTCTTCTTTCTACCAAAGCCTCCGACACTTATCCTTCATGATGAGGTATCATTCTTGGTGGATGTTAATACTAGAGTTAAACTTCTAGGGAGCAATCCATTCTCATGGCATGCTGATGTTTATTCGACAGATTGATTATGTGGAGTTTGAGAGGCATGGAGCAGGATCAAGCAATGCTCATTATTTTGATCTTCTTGTGAAACTAAAAAGTGAGCAAGAACATTTGTTCAGGAACATTCAGAGAAATGAGTATAGCAACCTTTTCAACTTTATTAGGTAGGTTAATGCGACCAGATTTTCTTAATCGAAAATTTTCTGCCATTATCTCATAGTCATCTATCGTCCTTGGTCAATTCAGTGGCAAAGGTCTGAAAATCATGAATCTCGGGGGTGGTCAAAGTGGCAATGCTGGCTCCCATGCTATTGACGAGGATGATGATGCTGTTGATCCTCATTTGGAGAGAATTAGAAGTGCTGCTGGTGACGAGGAAAGTGATGAAGAGGTGAACTCTCTCTCTCTCTCTCTCTCTCTCTCTCTCTCTCTCTCTCTCTCTCTGTGTCTCTCTCTCTCTATCTCTATCTGTCTATCCATCTATCCATCTATCTATCTATCTATCTATATATATATAGATATATAGATATATATATACAACTTTTGTGTGTACTTGCATTATCACTTAGTTTTAATTCCACGGTAATTTCAATATTTTCAGGATGAGGATTTCGTGGCTGGGGAGGATGATGATGGTTCTTCTACTGATGATACTGGAGAACGTGGGAGTGATGCCAGTGAAAGTGGAGGAGAGGAAAAGGAGGTAAGACTCGTTCTTCCTGTTAGGAAAGTTTTCACTGCGACATATTATACCGAACATCTGTGACCCTGCAAATCAATATCCCTGCCATCTCCACCATCGATAGGGTGGGTCTACACAATAGACCTCTGAGCCATTGATCCTGGGACTGTTTAGGGTTTGAGATCCCATGATCTACGTTCATCTAGCTGCCATCCTTCCCCCGATGGCCTAATGTGCTCATGGCTTGGTGACTTGTATACTTTTAATGAAATGTGCTGAAGATCCCAGCTCTCGTTAAGTCGTCTGCAGTGAATATCACATCATTTTGTTAAGGAGACCTGAAATGCTCGAATATTAAAGCTGGGAAACCTAGCATTATGTTAATTTTCATGAACGATAACCTCTTCATACCGCAGAAACCCGCAAAGAGAGAGGAAAAGAAAGAGGCCCCCTCTGCCAAAGCGCCTTCTGCTAAAAGAAAGGCCAAGGATGGGGATGAAGAAGGAAAGAAAAGAAGGCCAAGGAAGAAGAAGGATCCTAATGCACCAAAGAGGGCAATGTCTGGTTTTATGTTCTTCTCAAATACCGAAAGAGACGTAAGTCGCTCATAAACTCGGCTGTGTAACTGTTTTTCCTGCATGCCATACGCCATTTGTTTCCCCTCTCAGCTACGATTCCCATGTACGTAGTTCACCGTTATTTGTTTTTTATGCACTCTTGCTGCCCCTGTCTTCGGTATAGCTTTCACCACTAACATTGGTTATGGGTTGACCTTTCTATTTTAACAGCTTTTGCAGTGTTGCGTTAATTACAGATTAGAAAAGTGAGCTTAGAATAGTCAGAGCATGGAAAGGAGAATTTACTTAGAATTTTCAGCTACATCGTCTCCGGTGTGGATATAATATCTTTACAAATCCCTTTTTTCCCAATATCTTTATAATATCTCTACGTAGTCTCTGGTGCCGTCTTCCTTCATTAGTCTCTTCAAAGTCAACCCAAAGCCTAGAATTCGGGTAGGAGAAGTCAACCCGGCCAAGCCGTCGATCCAACTCTCCTAGATCTTTTTTTGTTTCTTTAAGTTTTCATGTGTTGTGCATTGGGGTAGGTGTCCAGAACTATCTGACTCTTCATGCATGCAGAACGTGAGGAAAACCAATCCGGGGATGTCTTTCACCGACGTCGGCAGGACTCTCGGAGAGATGTGGAAGAAGATGTCAGGTACGGTCGATGACGGCGTGCCTTCCTCTGCCAAGCCGAACTTACCATCTAAACTCTCTCATTTTGCATGCATGCAGCCGAGGAGAAGGAGCCCTACGAGTCCATGGCAAACGCGGACAAGAAGCGGTACAAGGAGGCCATGGCTGGCTACAAGAGCGGCGCCGCCCCCGTCGTCGATGTGGGTTCCGGCGACGACTCCGCCAGCGACTAGTTCACGGTGGGGGTTCCTGTACTCGTGGTTTCCCGGATGCCCAGGTGATCCGCAGAGCAGCGCCGGCTATCGGGCCGGAGGAGGAAGGGGGAGGGAGGGTTTGGTTTCTTATACTGAACCCGTGATTTTGGAAAATATCAATCAGCTGTGGTTCGTCTTCAGGGAAGATCTGCCACGAATGTGTCCCACTTCATTTGGTTGAAAGAATCTCACGAGTTTGAGGAGAAGACGAGTTCTTCGAATGGTGGTGGAGCGCAAGGAAATCTAGCGAGTAAATCGTGAGAAATCGATATGGATCCCCACTGGTCTTCTTCTTCGTCTGCCTCTTATTCTTCATCTTCTTCCTTGGTCAGCAGGGCGCCATGGGGCGGCAGGTGAGGGCGCCGGAGTAGCGGGTGAGCCTGGTGACGAAGGAACCGGGCTTGGGCTTGATGATCATCTTCTTCTTGGTGGAGAAGGGGAGGGCGAGCTTGGCGGGGCCTGATTGCACGAAGAAGGCCCCGTTCACCATCAGGTCCCCCTCGGACCGCCACGTCCACGATTTCCACTGCCGCTTCGTCGCGTATTCCCTCTTAGTCACCTGCAACTCTCCACGTTTCAAGCTTTCGATCTGCTGTGGGAGAGAAGGGGAGAAGAGAAGAGAAGGGGGAGTGTAGTGGGGAGCACCTCCTTGGCGTTGTAGTTGGCGGGGGCGATGTAGCGGTTGCCGTCGCTGATGATGGTGGGGTGCTGGCTGCCGCCGACGGCGTACATCTGCCAGTGGGTGTAGTCGTTGTTGACGACGTGGAAGAACCCCCACCGGCAGCGGGGCATCCTCTGCCGGAGCTCCCGGCCGAAGTGGTTGAATGCCACCGTGATTTGCATGATGGAATCCTCCTTGCTCAGGTCGTGCGCCCCAAATAACATCACCTGCGCGCCGTCATCCATCGTCGCCCAATCGGCTCAGCCAACGAAGAATAAGAATACTACCAGTAGCAGTCGTAGTAGTAGTAGTAGAAGAAGAAGACGGAGTAAGAGAAGAAGAATAAGAAGAAGAAGAAGACGGAATAAGATGAAGAAGAAGAAGAAGAAGACGGTGTGAGGGAAGAAGAACAAGAAGAAGACGAAGAAGAAGAAGACGTAGTAGTAGAAGAGGACGACGGAGTAGTAGTAGTAGAAGAAGAAGAAGAAAAAGAGGAAAGGGGCTCGACCTCGTTGTGGTGGGTGAAGTGGTTGTTGGAGATGGTGATGGCGGTGGAGGCGTTGATGGCGTCGATGAGTCCGTCGTTGCACCTGGACATGGAGACGTGGTCGATCCACACGTTGGTGGAGCCGAAGATGGAGATCCCGTCTCCATCGCTCCTCGTCCTGAGCCCGTAGTGCCTCGGCGAGTCCCTGATAACCCCCCCGCCACCGGCCTTAATATCGTGGATGTGGATCCCGTGGATGATCACATTCTCCACAAACTGCAGCGTAATGCCGGCGCCGTAGGCGATGTGAACGTTAGCCCCCCTCCCGTCGATGGTCTTGTGGCTGTTCACGATGAGCTCCTCCCTCAGGCGGATCACCATGTCCCGCTCGAAGACCACCCACAGTGGCTCCTCCTGTATCACCGCGTGCCGCAGAGTCCCCGGTTTGGGGTTAACCAGATCCTCGTCGGAAGGGTTGTTCACCACGTAGAATCTCCCCTTCCTCCCGCCGACGGTGCGCCGTCCGAAGCCCAGCGCGCAGGTGGCGAGCCGCTTCCGGTGGTGCGCCCAGTTCTTCCGGCACCGCCAGCACCGGTCGATGGGGTTGGTCGCCATGCACGGCCCACCCTTGTGCTTCCCCAGCAGCTCCCGCCGCGTGCCGTTGACTTCCTCCAGCGCCCTGTCGGAATCCCCCCGTCGATATTGCTTAGAACATGCAGTTCCATTCTCAGGAGAGAAATGGTGATTCTACCAGGAAACACGGCAGACCCAGTTAAAAGTTACAGTTTTTTTGGTGATTAATGTGTGGGGCTGGGTATTGACCTGTAATCCAGAAATTTTAACCGCTGGTCACGTGGGTTCGTGTGGGGTGTTTTAAGCTGTGCATTAATGGCGAGGGCGGCTCACGCGGTCGCCACCATCTCCTCTTGAAAGACTCGGCGAGGGGCGTGGACGGAGTAATAACGCCGGCTATGGAACATTCGATTGGGATGAGCAAGACGAGTCGGCGTAGAGAACTGGGCAGGGGACGGCAGCGACGTTCTCCGGCCGCTTGGGAATGAACGGAATTCTCCAACCATCCCATCTCTCTCTCTCTCTCTCTCTCTCTCTCTCTCTGTCTATCTGTCTATCTCTGTCTCTCTCGATCTCTATCTCGCTCTCTCTTTCACTCGCAGGCTAGAGAGGAGGACTAGAGTAATGGGTCGAGTAGAAGGAGGGGAAGCCGGTGGTGCAACTCGGAGACGGGCATCTTTGAAGGAAGAGTTTTCTTACTCTTTGTGAGAGAGATCCACCGTTCTCACTACTTTGAACCTCTCGAGGACAGCCATCAGGTTCGGTTCCAGCTACCGAGGAAAACAGCAACAGTTGATCGAGACTACTAATAACCAACATGGATCGAGGAAGAGATGGTCCAATATTTTAGGTCGAACGGGGCTCTGGTTATGAACGGACTGAAGATTGGAAAAGCAGGGGAGATCGCGAGATATGGAAGGGAGCAAAGCGTGGATGAGGAGGACGTAGACGACGTACTTGTGGACGTGGGAGTTCAGTTCGTCGTTGACGGACTCGGGGTCAGGCTTGTAGGCGGCGATGGCGGCGGCGCGGGCCTTCTCCTCCCGCTGCTGCCAGGTCTCGTCGAACTCGGCGATGTGCGCGCGGCAAAGCGCGATGGCTGCGAGAAGTAGAGCGAAGAAGAAAGAGGAAGACGAGTTGGCCCTCATTCTTGCTGCACCCCCGCAGGGTCCAGCCAGAGGAACGGGTTCACCGCCACGAGGAGGACAAGGGGAAGAGGAAGAGGAAGGCAATTGCCTTCCTGCTCAGAGAGGAGGAGAACACAGGGAGAGATGAGAGAGAGAGAGGGGAGGGAAGGGACTACGGAAGTACTGAGCACAGACGCTGCGTAATACGGAGAACTGCGGGGTTTTATGTAGCCGAGGGCGGGCGGCGAGCGAAGCGAGGGGAACCACTAGGCGAGGAAGAAGTTGGAGAGAGAGGAGGAGTTGATGAACTGCGGCGGTAGCCTCTTGGGTTGTGGTTAGCTGGCCTTCTCCGTGATGGGTTCATTCAATTCAACTGGCCGTTGAAGACCACTCTTACGCCCATAGCTGGCCTCGAGGACCAGGCCCGTGGAGCCACACAATGGCCATAAATATACCCACAAATGGGTAGCCCAAATCTTCCGTCAATTGCTTGAAGTACTAAATGTGGGAGGTATCCACGTTCAGGTGCGAAGGGTCGCATTGCAACGTGCGAAGGGTGTGCCTTTGGAGATTATTCCATGATTTCCAGACCTTGCTCTGTAATCAACGGGAAACTATACGACCCCTCAACTCTTCTCACGGGATTCAATCCGCAAGTATTTTTGCAGGTGTCCATCACGTTCCGTTGGCATCATGATCATATGGAGACATGAAGAGAGAGAGAGAGAGAGAGAGAGAGAGATTATGCTTGCAGTCGGGTGCGAGTGAATAGTTCGTGTAGTTTAGCTGGACTTTGGCGTTTTGTCGGTGAATTCTATCGATGAATGAAAAGCCCAACCTCCAAGAAAACATTGTGGGATATATCAGGAGATTGTCTACGCAACTTTTCCAAGAAAGCAAAGCATTTGCCTTGCTGAAGATAGCCGATGAGAGAGAGAGAGAGGCGTCGAAGAAAAGTATGGAATATCACAGAGAGGTCATCTACCAGCACTTGGTGTATGGTGCTATAAATCTGCCCAACTGCTTTCCATTTGCTATGAAACAAACGTTCACCTCAATCTAGAGCCCACCCAACAAGGATCCTAATATCTCACATGGATCAGCGATGGAAGACAAAGAACGAGAGAGAAAAGGCCCCGGCTTCCCTGGAAACCGCCACGTCAGTGGAACTCCGTCCATCCATCGAATGGACCTCCACCCCCACCGCCCACATCCTCCGCGTCCGCATTCCTGGTCTGGTTTCATCCCCATCGATTCTCTGTCAAATCTTCGACTGCTTTTTTCTAAGTCTTCTTCCCTTTTCTGGTTGACCTAAAAGGTTTTACGAAGGAAGATCTGAGGGTGCTGATCGACAGCTCTGGAAGACTCAAAGTCACCGGGAAGAAGACGACGTCTGAAGCCGAAGAATTCCTATCTGAATCCTTTGAATTACCGCAAGACTCGGATTCTGACAAGATCACGGGGTGGTACGAGGATGACTGTATCTCCTTGATCATCCCCAAGAAGCCAACAGAAAGTATCAGCTCCCGTATCGGCGTTCTCGTCGATGGTGGTGATGATGATGATGATGATGGCGATGAGATAGAGGAAGATCCCGTCCGCGGGGGGGGCAGAGGTGACGGGGAGAAGACTAACCCTAGCGAGAAGAAGAGAATAAGCTGGGGACAGGGGTTTCAGGAGGTGCTCTCCAAACATGGTCTGTTGGAGAAGCTGAACCGTAACAAGAAGATCATCGCAGTGGCTGTTTCAGCGTTCGCGTTGGGGTTTTATATGTCTCGCAAGCTCAGATCGAGAGCGTAGGAGCTTGGAAATCGCGGAAGTATCAGTTGATTCAATCCATGAAACTATATCATGCATGGTTTAACTGGCTTCATGTGAAGTATCCAGCTGATGTAGAAGAAGAAGAAGAATATGATGATGATGATGAGATTGATGAACACCAGGATACACCAACAAGGTCTGATCGTAAACTGATTCATGTCCATGGTTCATGGCTGCAACGATGCTTCTCCTCACCTTAAATATGATGAAAAATCTTCCTTATCCCCCCGATCTTTAAAGACTAAAATCTCTAAAGTTCCAACTCAAAAGTGAGATTCACAGTCTTTGGGCTCTCTTCACCGTTGTATTCCCAACGGCTCCTTCTTCTGCTTGTCGCTTAGGATCTTCACTTGGGCTCCTGGTGATTTCCAGAGCTGGGTGCGCAGCTTGCGTACTCAGACACGCTTCCCTGTCTCCCTTCTCACATTCTCCAGAGTAAACTGAACAGCCAGATGGATTAGGAGACCTGGTAAAGACATGAGCTTCTACTGACGGAAGACCTCGCTCCCGTTCTCAGTCGTGCTCTTGATAAGGAAGACAGTATGAGATTCCAACGGCAGCTTCTCGAAAAGGATGGTGAACCCAAAAAGCTGATAGAGACAGGGATTGAAATCAGGACTCATCCTTTGAAGGTGTGACTGGAGACTGGGATCGGTGGCATGTCGCCTTCAACAATCTGACGCTCTGGATTATTCCACTTACTGGTGCCTGCCGGCAAGGTTCACCGTGATCCAAGGAGCGCGTTGGCCATCCGGAAATCGCCGGCCGGTGAAAGCAACCGGAAGGCTCTGGCCTCACTGCTACGGTGGCCCAAACCTCTATCCCAAGGCATCGTCCTCCATTGCCCGAAGCATGCGTTCTCCTTGTTGCAGGAAGACGATATGGAAATGTTGGAGGAAGGAATGTGAAGCCTCCTGGGTATCTCCATCTTTGATTTCGGCCTCCCTCCCCATCAGCTCCACGTCCAACTTCGCTGATGACCGGCCCTGATTGTTCTGAAGGGCTTGTCGAGTCTGCTAAGCGGGCGCAAGGCTGCTTCTGTGAGAAATCGCAGTGGCGTGACGAGAACGTCTTTTGACCAGCGACGACGTCTGTCGGCTTCCCTTTTTCTTTTGGAGTCAAAGCACGGACGGATGGAGATGGTTCCTGGCGCTTCTGGCCAGCGTCCCCTCGTTCCTTTGGTGTCGATTCTATGACGTTCGTTCCGGCTATCCAGGTGAAGATCGACCATTCACTTCCCCTCTTGAAGAATTTATGAAATACCCGATCAAATCGTCTGCCCTTTGACAATATGCCGATGGGAACGCACAATCCACCGAGAGGGAAGTGGGAATCCTATTCGAGAGGCTTGCAGAACCTGATTCACCCGCTCCCCACTTGGAGAGGATAAGCAGATAGAACGCACAGATGGATAGACACGCTGGGGGGGGCAGAGTGGTCGCGTTGGAAGGAAAAGGAGAAGCATTCCTTCGCAAGTAAGGAGGAAGAAGAAGATGCGCGTTCCCCACGAGCGAATGGAATTCCCAGAGTCTTAGCTTCAAAAGCACGGTCGATAAAGAGCGTGAAAGCAAAAGCATCGATCGTCCTTTGATAAAAAAATAGATAAGTTCCGCCCGCAGGACTGTCGGAAGGAAGAGCTTCCCACCCTCACCGCCGCCGGTACTTCCTTTCTCTCTCTCTCTCTCATCTTTTCCCTTTTCTTCTTGCCTTCTCCTCGGGCGTCCTTCGTTCACAGTCACAAATATGACACCATGACCTCGCCGCAACACACTGTCCGGAAGCTGACGGTGGAGGTGGTCGATGCCCGAGATCTCCTCCCCAAGGACGGTCAGGGGACCTCCAGCCCATACGTGGTGGTGGAGTTCGCCGGACAGAGGAAGCGCACGAAGACCTCCGTTAGGAGTCTCAACCCCAAATGGCACGAGAAGCTCGAGTTCCTCGTCCCCGACCCAGCGGACATGGAAGCCGAGGAGCTCGACGTCGAGGTCTACAGCGACAAGCGCCAGGGCACCTCTGGCGGCGGAGGACGAAAGAACCACTTCCTCGGCCGTGTCCGGATTTACGGCAGCCAGTTCGCTAAGAAGGGCGAAGAAGGCCTCATCTACTTCCCTCTCGAGAAGAGAGCCCTCCTCAGCTGGGTCCGCGGCGACATTGGCCTCAGGATATATTACTACGAGGAACAGCAACAAGGTGAGGAGAAGAAGCTCGACCAGTCCAACCCGCAGCAAGAGCACAACGAGGCGAAGAAGGAGAGCATATCCGATATCCCTCTGCCGACGGAGACGGCCAGCGAGACGCAGGAACCGCCGCCCGTGCCTCTCGTGGTAGTGGAGGAAGTCCCATCTCCGGAGCCTGCACCGCCTCCTCAGCACGTGGTGGAGGAGCACCCGCGGGAAGTTCTCATGGCCGAAGTGAAGAAGATGCAGACGACGGCGACTATGGAGAAGACCACAGTTTCGAGGAGGACGAACGGGGGGCACTTCGAACCGAAGGCCATACCCGGAAAGTTCTCATCAACCAGGGAGGCGGCCGATCGGATTTCCTCGGCGTACGACCTCGTGGAGCCCATGCAGTTCCTATTCGTGAAGGTGGTCAAGGCGAGGAATCTCCAGCCGTGCGAGAACCCTAGCGTCAAGGTCCGTGCGGGAGCGCAGACGGTGAGGACGAAGCAGTCCCCGGGAAACTCAGCAAACCCGGAATGGAACCAGGTCTTCTCCTTCAGCCACACCAAGGCGGAGTCCACGCTCGAGATCTCGGTCTGGGATGGCGGCGCCGCCGCCGGCGAGACCTTCCTCGGCGGTGTCTGCTTCGACCTCTCCGATGTGCCCGTCCGAGACAAGCCGGACGGCCCGTTGGCGGCGCAGTGGTACCGTCTCGAGGGATCCGACGACCGCAACCCCACCGCTCACATCACCGGCGACATCATGGTCTCCGTCTGGATCGGGACCCAGGCCGACGAGGCGTTCCCAGATTCATGGAACACAGAGGCCCCCCACGTCGGCCACACCCGCTCCAAGGTCTACCAGTCCCCGAAGCTCTGGTACCTCCGCGTGTCGGTGATCGAAGCTCAGGACCTTCACGTCGGGGGCCCGTCGCCGTCTCCGTTCCCGGTCGACGTGAGGGTGAAGATTCAGCTGGGCTTCCAGTCCTCGCGGACCAGGAGGTCCACCGCCGGCGGTGATTCCCCGTCCTTCTCCTGGCACGAGGACCTCATGTTCGTCGTCTCTGAGCCACTCGATGACCAACTGCTCGTCCTGGTAGAGGACCGCTCCGGCAAGGAGACCACTCTGCTGGGCCACGCCATGGTGGAGGTAGCCTCCGTGGAGCAGCGGCTCGACGAGCGCCCACTCTCCTCCAAGTGGTTCAACCTCGACGGCGGAAAAGCCGCCGCCGCCTCCGGCGGCGCCGCCTACGCAGGGAGGATTCACCTGAGGCTGTGCCTGGAGGGGGGTTACCACGTGCTGGACGAGGCGGCGCACGTCTGCAGCGACTTCCGGGCGACGGCGAAGCAGCTGTGGCGGCCGGCGGTGGGGGTGCTGGAGCTGGGCATCCTGGGGGCGCGGGGGCTTCTCCCTATGAAGACTAAGGGCGGTGGCAAGGGCTCCACCGACGCCTACTGCGTGGCCAAGTACGGGAAGAAGTGGGTCCGCACCAGGACCATCACCGACAGCTTTGACCCTCGCTGGAACGAGCAGTACACGTGGCAGGTCTACGACCCCTGCACGGTGCTGACCATCGGGGTCTTCGACAACTGGCGCATGTTCGCTGACCTCGCCGGCGAGCGCCCCGACTACCGCATCGGCAAGGTGCGGATCCGCTTATCGACGCTAGAGAGCAACCGCGTGTACACCAACTCCTACCCTCTGCTGGTGCTGCTCCGCTCGGGGTTGAAGAAGATGGGCGAGGTGGAAGTGGCCGTCCGCTTCGCTTGCCCCGCGCTGCTGCCGGACACCTGCGCCATCTACGCGCAGCCGATGCTGCCGAGGATGCACCACCTCCGCCCCATCGGCGTGCCGCAGCAGGAGGCCCTGCGCGGCGCCGCCATCAAGATGGTCGCTGGCTGGCTCGCCCGCTCGGAGCCCCCGCTCGGCCCGGAGGTAGTGCGCTACATGCTCGACGCCGATTCCCATATCTGGAGCATGCGCCGCAGCAAGTCGAACTGGTTCCGCATCATGGCCGTGCTGGCGTGGATCGTCGGCGTGGCCCGTTGGCTCGACGACATACGGCGGTGGCGGAACCCCGTGACAACCTTCCTCGTCCACCTCCTGTTCCTCGTTCTGGTCTGGTACCCGGAGCTGGCCGCGCCGACAGGCTTCTTCTACCTCGTGCTCGTCGCCGCCTGGTACCGCCGCTTCCGGCCGAAGCTCCCGCCGGGGATGGACGTGCGTCTCTCCCAGGCGGACGCCGTGGAACCCGACGAGCTCGACGAGGAGTTCGACGCCGTGCCGACGGGGAAACCGGAGGAGCTCGTGAGGGCGCGCTACGACCGCCTGCGGACTCTCGCCGGCAGGGTCCAGACGGTGATGGGGGACTTCGCCGCGCAGGGAGAGAGGCTGCAGGCGCTGGTCAGCTGGAGGGACCCGCGCGCCACCAGGCTCTTCGTCGGCGCCTGCTCTGCCGCCGGTGTCGTTCTCTACGTCGTCCCGCCGAAGATGGTGGCGGTAGCCCTCGGCTTCTACTTCCTGCGGCACCCCATGTTCAGGGACCCTATGCCGCCCCCCACCCTCAACTTCTTCCGCCGCCTCCCCAGCCTCTCCGACCGAATCTTGTAGCATCATCATCATCGGAAAGAGAGAGAGAGAGAGAGAGAGAGAGAGATCCAGGGAGCCCCGAATGATGATGATAATAATAATAATGTACTTGGTATGAATTTTGCAATAGCATGCTGTTTATTATCTCAACGGGCCGGGTGGTTGTCCGGCCCAATAAATAAGCCCAGTGGTGAGAGAACGAGGGGGCCATTGCTGGCTGGATATTCGGCCCGGTGATGACGTCTCTTGGCCAGTCAGTGGCTTTGAAGGCCACCGCACCGCCCTCGCCGCCTTCACCACAGAATTAATGCTCAACAATAAAAAATCTTAAATAATGAAAGGGCCTTTTAGTTAATATTCCACTAGGAAACTCTATTTCTTAAAAAAGGTTATTCATTTTTTTCTCAATGTTAGATCTGAGAAAAAAATCTAAATTCTCATGATTTCTATCAATGCGTCAGCCAAAATTTAAATAGAATAAAAAAAAAGGATTCTACGGGAGCAGTCTTTGGGTTAATATCATGATAGGGAACTATATTTCTTAACAAAAAGGTCAACCCTTTTGTCTCTTAATGCTATATTTGACAAAAATATATAAATAATTGATCATTTTTAAATGGAATAAAAAAAATGGATTATATGGGAGTAGTCTATGGGCTAATATTCTAATGGGAAATTGTATTTCTTAAAAAAGGTTAATCCTTTATCTCTTAATGCTATATTTTTTATAAAAAATGATGGTCAAATTTTAAAGGGAATAAAAGAACTGGATTATATGGGAGCAGTCTCTGGGTTAATATTCCAATAGGAAATTTTATTTCTTAAAAAAAGGTTAATCCTTTATCTCTTAATGTTGTATTTGACAAAAAAAATATAAATTGACGATTAAATTTGAAAGGGAATTAAAAATATGGATTATATGGGAGCAGTCTCCGGGTTAATATTCCAATAGGAAATTTTATTTCTTAAAAAAAGGTTAATCCTTTATCTCTTAATATTGTATTTGACAAAAAAAAATATAAATTGACGGCTAAATTTTAAAGGGAATAAAAGAATTGGATTATATGGGAGCAAACTTTGGGTTAATATTCCAATAGGAAATTTTATTTCTTAAAAAAAGGTTAATCCTTTATCTCTTAATGTTGTATTTGACAAAAAAAATATAAATTGACGGTTAAATTTTAAAGGGAATTAAAATATGGATTATATGGGAGCAGTCTCTGGGTTAACATTCCAATAAGAAATTTTATTTCTTAAAAAAAGGTTATCCTTTATCTCTTAATGCTATATTTGACAAAAAATATAAATTATATGTTTTTAATGAAATAAAAAAATTTGGATTATATGGGAGCAGTCTTTGGATCAATACTCAAATAGGAAACTGTCTTTATTAGAAAAAGGTTTACACTTTATCCCTTAATGCTACGTTTGACAGAATTAAAATAAATTATCGGGTCAATTTTTTAATGGAATAAAAAAAACTGGATTATGAGGAGCAGTCCGGGATGGCACGCTGACGTGGACTCGCGAGATCCAGGAGGTTATCAGCTCTGCGCTCTCCATCCCAGAGCCCGAGCGCGCCGCGCCCACCGGAGATCTTTTCGTCCCACTCTGTGTATCTTTCAAATCCCTCCGGTCTGTTCGATTTGAAGCATTTCCATCGGCAACCCGGTGGTTGCTGTTCATATCGCCGCGGTTCCCTCGCGGTGGAGCTACACGGCATGTTCTCTGTGGACTCTGGCTTGCCCAGGTACTGCATTTCCGTCTTCAGATGGCAGGGCTGCGGTCGTGTGCGCACGTACCTCCGCTTCAGGCGGGGAGGCCTGGGAGTCCCCAATGGAATCTCTTCCTCCATTGGGGAGCGTTCGCCTCCGGTACGGGGACATGCTGCTTCTCGATTAGGCACTGATGTTCGGTGTTTTGGTCTCCCGCGCAGTTTATCTTTTCCAATTTTGACATTGATTTTCTCATCTTTCGTTTGAAAGCTCGATTACGACCCCTCTAAAGATCTTCTGGGATTGGAAGTGGATCTGCAACCGAGGTATGTTGCTCTCTCGTTTCTTTCTGGTTAGAGAAACACCTTAAAATGTTTCTATCTCTTGAATTCGATATATGTGCATATTATTCACGACGAACGCTACATTTGGAAATTGGCTTCACATACACAAACAGATCCATTAAAAATGACTCGATAAGAGCTTCTCGTATGAAAATTTGCTACAAATGAGAAGACCTTCTTGAAAAATTGCTCAAAAAGAGGAAATGGGTAAATATCCACTATTTTTCATTCAATGTTCAACCTTTGGGAAAATAATTCAATTTGGTATATGCTCTCATCAGCAAACCTAGAGGCTTAGGATGAAATTGCTCACAGGCATTTGCTTCTAAACCTGGGTTGCATGCTGACCTGTGATGAGGGTCTCATTGCACTTCATTCCCCTGTTGACTTGCATGAAATACTTTACAGAGAAGTGATGTGTAATATTTACTTGTTTTGAGCTTTTTGATTTCATTCAACGTCTTTGAAGTATGTTTTCCATGTGACAATGAACATTGAGCATGCAGAAGGTAGATACTCGATAATTGGCCGTCGTATCTCATTCTCATTTGTATGTACTCGTATGAAACATGCCAATGCAGGAAAGTCATCTCTGGTCCACCAAAACTAAGATCCTGGTTTGGGCCGAATGGTCAATACATCAGAGAGTTGCCTTGCCCTACTTGCAGAGGCAGGGGCTATACACCTTGTACAGAGTGTGGAATCGAAAGATCAAGAGTGGACTGTTCAGAATGTGACGGGAAGGTAATTTTTTTATTACTTTCCTCTCCTGTCGAATTCAGATGACCTTTGTGTCTCATTATATTTTGTTTGCAAGTTCTTGATTCTTGTCTGAATTTGGTACCTATGGTTCCTTGGCATTATCATTCTTTAGATTTCGATAACATTATAAGTTCTGATAAAGGAATATTGCACTTTTGTTGAGAACTTCCTACCTTTCAACAAACGTATTAAAAATTTAGGAAAGCTTTCCAGAGCATGGAAAATAAATCTATGAAACCGAAGATAGATTGAAGTGATCATCAGTTCTATCTCTTGTATTGTCACTCATATTTGTCTATTCTGTCCACCACATCTCAGGGTCTTAAAACTTGCCAGAAGTGTTTAGGAGATTGTGTAATATGGGAAGAGTCAATTGACGAGAGACCATGGGAAAAAGCTCGATCTAGGTATATCTTGCATTGATTTTTTACTACTTTCTCTCTGCTAATTTGCAATATCCCTGACCTGTTTCTTTTAGTTTTGGGGTTTCTGCTATCTATCTATTACCAATGGCGCCTTCTAGAATTTCAAAATTTTCATGTAGATTTCTTTCAGGACCAGATATTTATCGATTATCTATTATTATTCGTATCCATTCCGTCTGACATTAGGTCTTTTAGCGGGGGAAGAAATCGATAATGGTCTCCTCTTCATTCATAGGCTACTATATATCATTAGGATGAGAATATTCTTAGGTACGAAAATCTGAAAAATACTTGGAAAATATCATACGAAATCGTCTACAAATAGAGAATTAAATGTAGGGCATACTTGCCAATGCAGCCATACGTAGCTAGCTGTTGGCCCATTGCCAGTGAATGATCAGGTGGGAAACTGCCACTGTTTTTTTTATATTTCAACGCTCAAATCTATCGTCCTATTAGAATCATAAATTGGCAATCTCCAGGGTACAGGTTATTCATATTATAATTACTTGAGTTACCATTATAAATCGAAATAAATAAAAATAGTACATACATATGTTAATGAGTAACCAGTTTTCTGGCGTGGTGTTGACTCAGAGACTAAGAAAATGGTTAGTTGTATCTCCTTTCCGCGGCTTGAATATTTTTGAGGCCATTTTTTTCAATCAACTTGTTTGACCTGATTACCTCCAAACGACCCATGTGGTATCTACAGCAAACCATGGTTATGGGCATGTATTGTCATTTGTCTTCTGAAAAAAAGGGCATCTTGTTCCCTGATCGGTATCCTTCCATTCCTCAGATGCAGAAATATACGGGGATCTGTTAGGTCCCTGGTTCAAATGACAGACTAGGTGATTCATTTACTCTGTGTTTCGAGCCCAGATCATCAGTGAGCATAACCAGGACTGGAGTGCGTTGCTGCCTGTCCTTGACATCTTTTAAGAGGCCAACCATTCATGGTCTGGTGCAGGTCCGACACCACAATGAAGCTGGAACCAATAGAAAGCACTGACATTCTTCATTTCCGAATGAACCAACCTGTTCAAATTGGTTTTCAGTTCAATTTTGATTATTCAAGCATTTTCTGGAGAATTCTGATTAGAATAATGGGAAACTGGATCTCACTGTTCATGTTGGTTTCCCCGGTTCTGTATCATAGTGGTGTGTTATCTGAACCTTGCCTTTTAATTATGTGAACAATTTTCGGACCATTGGTTATGCTTAACATGTTTTTTGATGATCATATAAGTGACATTTCGTCTGCTACCTAATCCTGAGTTGAGCTTTGATTTTATCAGCTTATTTTCTTTAACTAACAGAGCGAACCTTGACCAATCTAAAATATGGGACATTTTTTTTTGGTCTTCTAGCCTGTTTCAATTCCTGGGTTCATACAATAACAGTTACATATATAAACAAATAGCATGGAGGGTGATATTTGATGCAGTTAGGAAGAAAATAATGGATAAGTTCCCATTTCATTTGCGATCTCACTTGTTGGAATCCATAATTTGATCTGTATCATATGACGCTCATTTTTGCAGCTCTCCACTAAAAGTTAAGGAGGATGATGACGTTGACAATCTTGAGATAGAAGTCAATGTCGCTAGAAAATCAAAGCGTGTGTATCAATCACCGTCTCCTGAAGTTGGTTTAAAGATCAGCCGATCATTGAAGGCAATCTTTCTTTATCTCCTAGAAAACAATCGGGCTATTATACATCACGACGTCTCTCTTTTTTTTTTCGTCTAATTCAAATATGCTCTCAAACTTTATTTATCTTCGTGGTGTAATAATCTATGCTTTGAATCACAAAAGACTATGATTTCTTGCTTTCTCTTTTTTTCCTCACTAGAGCAGCGGATTTATCAAACTTATTCTGCATTTTTCGTAATGCTCACATTTGTTACTAAATTCATAATAACAGTGATTAACAGATTGCTGGGTGAAGTTTAAATCTAATGCTTTGAGTGGTTGAGTGTCTGCAGAGTCTGAACGCGAAAACAGGTCTGTTTAGCAAAAGAATGAGGATCATACATCGCAACCCTACGCTACATGCGCAGAGAGTGGCAGCAATTAAGGTTTGAAACTATAAAGCGTAAAAATTTGATGATCAGCATCCTCTTGGGTCGATTTTCAGATGATCAACTTTGTATGAAATTCTGGAAATAATCTAAAGTTGCCCATTGATCGATATCTGTGCTTGTCTTCATGTCCAGAAAACAAAAGGGACTCCAGAAGCGAGGAAGCAGGCCTCTGAGGCTATGAAAGCCTATTTCCGTAACCCAGAGAATCGCCAAAAGAGGAGCATGTCTATGAAAGGCATGCACTCATCAGCTCAGTCATCACCTTCTAAGTCAGATTATTCTTAATTATTTGAAAAAGGGTTATCTTTCTGAGCATAAATATTATCCATTTTTGAATTGCACATAATCCTGTTATAATCCTATGTTTTCTCCTTGATTTTAGGTGTAAAATATTTCTGCAGTCACTGCGGGGAAGAAGGCCATAGGAGGCACTACTGCCCGTCTCTAGATGATGGCTCAGGAAAGAGGCAGTTCAAGTGCCGGATATGTGGGGAAAGAGGGCACAACAGGCGGACCTGTAGGAGGAATGTGTCTAGTGATGGATCGAGTCTGAAGACTGAGAGTAGTGAACACAGGTGTAGTGTCTGCGGCCAAGTGGGTCATAACCGGAGGACATGCTTGTCAGCGCAGTCAACTCCCAGTAAGGTTACTCTCAACTTGATTTCTGATAATATGAGAACTTATTCCTGTAGAATGTGCCTTAGAAAAGGGCACAATAGTAGAACATGCCTCCACAAATCAGAGCCTAATTCAGGCTAAAAGCGAAGGTTGACTTGGATGTAATAGCTTGATTCTTTATATGCCCAGGTATATATCTATACATACATATTATAACCATATATGTATATATATATATTTATATAACTTGCGTCTTTACATGCCCAAATACATATCAGTATACCCAGATGTATGTATGTATGTATGTATGTTATGTGTGTATAAATATGATGCATCTGCAGTATAATGTCGCATTGAAAACGGCCGGTGTGGAGGGTGGGGAAGGAATGGCATTCAACAGGAAGGCAAGAATGAAGATGTCTTGGGTATGGGAAAACGGAATATCCCACCATATTGGCCAAGGTTAGGGAAATATGTCCTATCATTGAATCCATGGGCAGAGTTCAGTTTAGTTGACGGACATGAATGACACAACAAACCAAGACTGAGGTTACTTTGAAGGAGTGATACTAACATGTGAAATACAATGCTTTATACATAGCTCAAATTGTATTATGTAGACTGAAGAACTGGAAAAGCCCATGGCTGCTGCATGGATCGTTAGCTCTTACAATGAAGATAGAGACGAATAGAAAATTGCAAATGCTTGAACATGTTCTTTCCTTCACAAGACCGTGGAGATAGACAAGCCTTAATTAGCCTATCCCACAACGGCTGTATTTTCTTCTGGTTCACAAATGACAGGAGAGGAAGATCAATCATCAAGATCCATGTTTTCCAACATCAATCTACACATGCGGTTCATATTCAATCAGAAGCCTTCAGTCAGTGCGAAAACTCGGCCAGACAAGGGAGGAGGCAATTTGGAAATGGCGGCCTGGATTTCCTGAGCAGATAGCAGAATTCATGGAAATGGAGGGGACGAGGAGGAAGAAATCAGCTGACTATTTCAACTTTTAAAATGATTTATGAAGGACTTACCTCGGCCTGATATCTAGCTGAGAAATGGATCAGAAGAATGGCTTTATTTTCAAACTTGTCCGCACAGCGAGCGATCTGCTCTCAAAGTATCATGAGAAAAAATTAGTTAATAAATCAGAAGGGAAGATAAGATGGATCGAATTCTCCAACCATGTTCATGTGACAAGTGAAGCAGACCTCAGACAGATGGGTGTGGCCATAGTCTCTTGCATTCTCTATCGTCATTGCTTCATCAACGAAGGTGCTCTGGGAAGAATTACACAAGGAGTTTAAAAGAAAGATGGTGACTGAGTGGAAAACCCCAAGAAGTTCTTAAAATTTATGTGGAGGTGAGAGCACAATCCCTTGAGATTGCAGTGCTGATTCACAGAGAATAAAGCTTCTCTTCCCATCCTTAATATGGCACCCATCAAATAATGTGTAAAGGCCTCAGAAAAATGAATAGGTTTTAAAGGGAATGCAGGATGTATATCATAGAACGACGCCTTTCCAAATCTTAAGCCATTACAAAGCAGGTTCGAATAACTTCAGAGTAATATCTCTTATGGTTGAAGACAACAGTGCTTCTTTTCGGAGAAAGGTTGCCTCTATCTGTTTTCTATGTTTGAATTCTTTACTGGGTACCCACCAAGAGATATTTTCCCACATAAAGATAGCAGGGCACCCCAGTTTTAGCAGAACTGATTGGATACCCAACCATTATCGATTCATCTAAATTAAAACTTGAATAAAAGTGAAGCCTTGATTATCTCATCTTCATTCACTTAATGTCTAAATAAATAATAACTTGAACATGTATGTACACATGGTGCCAACACATCCACGAGTTGGGTTTATACTAGAAAGCTTTTTTGTCAAAGTCATCCACTGATAAAAGTCAGGCATAATACAATAAAATACCCATGTTTTTAATGAACAAGTCTGTGCATGTCTTCTGGTCTTAAGCCTGTGCATGCTGAAAATACCATCCCAAGAAATCTATGTTGAAATGAATCTAGCCCAAAAAATAAGATCATAAGAGGAGGATGAGATAACAAAGTCTCTGAAGTGAGGATGCATATTGTTGAAGGATCAAACTTTACAAAATCATTCACCTATGAATGAAAATAAAAAATCATGCCGAGATGGAGGTAGATAGCAACTTATTTGGAATCAGCGAACTTGGGTAGTACCTCCATCACAAGAACACGAGCCTTCAATGCATCTATGTTATCCTGATCAGCTATGAAGTCGGACATGGTGTCCCCGGTAAAAGCAATCTCAGGCGATGTGATTGAGTATGTAACCTGTCATTCCATGGTGATAAGAATCTGCGAGGAAAATACCCGATGTTCTAACTGTGAAGTAAGCCTCTTCAAAGTGACTGCAAAGACAGACCTCCACACCTGATAACCTCAAGTTCTTGATCTCATTCCCGGAGAGGCCCGCATACTCTGGCTTAAGTTTATGCCTTAGACTGTAAATCACATAACCCTACAAGTATTATAACTCAACAGCCTTAGGAATCCTAGGCCAAGAACAGGTTGGACAGATCAGCCAGAGAGATAAAGCTTGCGACAGGGATTCACCTGGCTAGGTATCGAGTGGTAAGTCCTGAATGCTCTCACCTTAATGTCCTTCCTCAGAAGAAATTCCTCCCCTGAAAGTATTTGTATGAAGCTATAGCCACATCCATTCACGAGTATAGATGAAGATGGTGACGGAATGGGGAAAGCTGAGAGGATGCCTCACCGACATTCAAAGGGACGAGGTTATGCTTCAACTCGGACTGGTCCATCGCTCTGTGCACTTCGAACAACCTCTCCACGTTCTCCTTGATGGACGGCGGCACAAAAATCGTCGGAGGCTTCATCTTGTACAGCCCCCGGGTGGCCACGTACATCGGCAGTCCTCCCTAGTGCGCCATCAACCGGAGAATTTCCATCAATCAAACTCGATACTCCACTTCCGAAACAGAAGCGGGCGGAGGAAAGAGACAGATAGCATCGGGGATTACTATATGATCCATGTGGCCATGGGAGATGAACAGGTACTCCTGCGAGATGGCGCGCTGCGGGCACCGACCAATGTCGAAGGCCATCTTGAGCGTGGGGAATATCACGCAGGTCTCCTGCCCACCGATTGACAGCCCCTCCACGGGATATCCCTCCACCTCGAAGCCCCTTCCCCCCTTCTTCTTCCCTCCGTCCGTCGCCATGGAGCAGAGAGACTTGGATTTCCCGGAAACCAGAAGAAAGTTGCAGACGAAGACGAAGGCCATCTTACAGGGTTAAGACGAGAGTGAGCGATGGTGCGTTCAACTCGGCGGGTTGACTCGGGCTGAGCTGATCTTGTGCGTAGTTTTGAAGTTGGTGTGCATAACGATTTTAATCCCAGCTCTCGTCACCGTCCGATGCCCATCGGACGGGAAACGCACGTTGGGTGGTTGTACGTGCATCATATTTCCGTGAAACTCGCGCGTTTACCAGCTAAAGCCTCCGACGCCACGGCGCCGCCCCGTATTGGCCGGAGTCGGACTTCTCTGATCGTCGCCCTGCCCGGGATAGGAGAGGGTGGAGGTTCTGCTTGCGGGTCGGGGATCTTTTTCCAATCCTGCCTTCGTCCTCTGCTTCTCTATAGATAGTTTTTGGGCTGTAATTTAGAAAGGTAGGTTTTCGTTGGGGGGCGCTGCGGAGGGGAGCCATGGCGATGCAAAGTGGAATAGGCCTTTCCAAGATTCTCATCTTGATCGGAGCAGGTATCCGTGGCCAAATGCCTTCTTTCGTGCTTATTTTACCTGTCTATTGGTGGTATCTCAGGGTTTTCCTCGTTCAATTGGCAGGGTATACTGGCTCGATCGTGTTGCGAAACGGGAAGCTGTCTGACATTCTAGGCGATGTACAGGTACGACACCATCCTGAACGGTGATCCCTTCATAGAATGGATGATGCTCATTCTTGCCTAGGATCATCTGAATTTATTTTCGTTTACTACAGGTTCTAGTCAAGGGACTGGAAAATTCCAAGGAATCATCCCACAAAGATTCTGAGTCCTCTCATCTCTCTAATCAGGTATTTCATCGCCACTGTTAATCACTTGAATTCCGTGGTCACTTCATGGCAATCTAGAATTTTTGCACTTTGTACCTAGAATAGGCTAATGGAAATTTTCATTGTCATGGTATAGTAGCTAATTATGTATCAGTCTTTATTCATCATTTATAAAATAGTTACTAAAAATTTGAGTTGGTTTTGGAAATTTGATAAATGAAACATGATTTCCCCTGGCTTGAAATGGCTTCTCCAATGATTCTAATTTAAATATATAATCCGTCATTCTTTTATTTTGGAAGGGGGCTGTTTTCGGTTGTTAGAAACAGGAAGGTTAGCGACGAAGTTATCTTATTCTAGATCGAACCGTAATTTCGTTTTCTTCTGAGTTCATGATGTGTCAGTGAACTTGAAATCATGATTGACCAATTTTGGCTATGAGGATCTTGAGGAAATTTTCGCATGGCGGAATGTAGGAAATTTTGAGGATAGCACTTTGAAGGAGACCGTAGATTTTGAAGGAAGTACTCATTTTTTTACTTCTTTGTTTTCTCTGATTCGAGGGAACTACTGTAACTCCTTCCCTTATAATGTAGCCAAATAAGAGAGTACTTCTGGTGCTTTGGTTAATGCTATAAAATTCAATGAAAAGGTCAAACGGATTCCAGAATCTCTCTAATATAGGGATTGAAATCAAGAGAAATGATGAAACATTGTTAGAATTACCTTGTGGGCTCATGAGAAGTGGGTTACCAAGTGTCAAGGCTATCCCTTTCTCAGTTTTTTTAAGGCAATCCCTTCCTGAAAGAAATGTGGGGAGGGTAAAGGTTGTGAAGCATGTGAAGAATTTTCATTCGAGTAGAGAAAAACCAACCCAGAATTATTTGTAATAGATGCAAACCACACATACAAAAATAGGTGTGCGAGAATTCCCTAAAGTCGATCCAGGATACCTTATGGTGAGCTCAACACTCCTGGCTTACGTCCCTTAGATGATATATATCTGCCTAGGGTTTGCTTCGAGCTTTGACCTGAAGGAAATGCTCTAAGGGCTTTGGGAACTCTCTAGATCATCTATTTAGCTAGAGGCATATGATTTCCCCAGCATGCATCCAGAGGGTTTTTCTGCTCCACTTTTTATGACTGAACCACATTCTGAATGTGATTAGTGGGCGGTCTGCTTGGGCTCCAGTTAAGTGTCATCTTTCCCTATGGAGGACGATTGAAATGACTTTCCAATGAAGTTCAATAAACACTCGTAATTTCTAAGTGAATGAGATGAAAATTTCTGATAGAAGCCTTTTCTTGGATCACCATCCTCGTTGCATCTCTCAAAAGAGAATACAAATTCCCGTGCCTTATGAACCATTGAGCTTCAAACAAATAGTTTCATGACACCCTGATCTTTGACAAGGTTGAATGCTCAACTAGGAGAGAACTTCAGAAAATCCTTCACATGTTTCCATAAGCTAAACCTCCTTAGGAACTCAGACTTGAAATGGAATCTATATAACTCTGTGAGGGTGGCTCAAATGCATTTAGACTTATTAATTTGATTTGGATATAAAAGGTCGTATATTCAAGAGTGAGAGAAAACCATTTTCATCTTCCGAAAATGACTGACATTGTTTTTTTTCCTGATCTGTAAAATGAAAAATTGAGAAACAGTTTTTTTATGGTAAAAAACATATTTATCTCAGTCGGTTTGCAAGAACAAGAAGAAAAAGAACAAAGCAAAGAGTCTGTCGAATTTCAATATTCAGTTTCGCCAATAAGACACAGAGGTTTTCTTCCCATTTGCAATCACATATACAGGATTTTTCATCTCAAAGGGGTTTGCATATTATGCTGAGAAAACGTCAACGGCTGCTGGGTATTGTTCAAAGAAAAATGAAGTACGTAATAATAAATTAACTTGTCTGCTGAATATTCGGTGGCAAAAAATAAGTCCATCCGATTCGTTTGAGCAATTATTGTTTTGATTAGATTTTATTTTTTTTGTCAACAAATCTCGTTTCGAAATTACGGATATGTTGGTGAAAGGCAGATAAAATATCTCTTTAAAAAATTTGTGTTTTTCATTGTTTAAAGATCATAGGCATATACTGGTATTTTTTTTCCCGTATTCTCCAATATGCTTCTGCCAATCCACATTGCTCTTGGACGGAAGCACAACTATTTTATTGCTAATATGTTGGTGATGATGCACGTAATATGCTTTTATTTTGTACCCTTCTTATGGTTGTGCTGTCATTTTTCCTTTTATATTATATTCATATAAACCATTTTGGAATACATTTGTCGAACATGTGATGATGACTTTTTAAAAATTTCACAGCTGGACTGGTTAACAAGAGAGGTTCAACGGATGGCCTCTGCTCGCCCAATAACAGTTCTCAATGGAAATTCCAACCAAGGTGGCAGTTATTATTTGCTGGGAAATTTATCTGATGGTTTTTTCTGCCTTCACTCGTTTCAAATATGGATCAGGATTTTTCTGTTTTTTATTACCTTCTCAAATCGTGAAGTTTTGTACTTGCATAGAATGCAATGTTCATGAGCTTGATCATGCTAGCCATCTGAAGTTCAAAGTTCATATCATTAGCAGTTTTTCTCCTTCAACAGCCATGCACTGTTTTCTGTTGGTTTGTGATCACTGATATAAATTGCTCTTTCAGGAAGTATTTCTCCTCTGATTGTGCCACTCGCCTCCTTGGGGGCATTAGGATATGGATATCTGTGGTGGAAAGTATGTTTTATTTTGAAGTTCCTGTAATATGTACACATAGCGTCTGAAAATAACTGATCTTTTTATTTGGCCTATTTTCAACTTGATAGGGATATTCTTTAACAGATCTTATGTATGTTACCAAGCGTAACATGGCAAATGCTGTTTCAAGCATGACAAAACATCTTGACCAAGTGTCTTCTGCTCTTGCAGTAAGTTTTTGTTTTACAAGTCGTGCGTATTTCTCCTCTGCCACACCTTTAGAACACCTATTTCCCTATCATGATCACATGTGCTTATTGGTGTACCATGTTCTGTTGGTGATCTAGTTCACATTATGTGGAGCATCTAGTATTATGATTGGCAGAAAGCTTTCTATTAGTTTATCATGGATCATATCCTGAGAGTTGGAGATCCACTTTTGTAAATTACATAACTGATAGTTATGTTTTTTCTGGTGTTAATAACATGATGTATCTCTGATGTACAGTTGGTGATTATTTCATGCTACCTTGAATTAGGTGTGTGTGGCTAATTTGACATTTTCTTGTACGGTTTTCATTTCTTTTCTCTGTCTAGGCGGCAAAACGGCATTTGACACAGAGAATCGAGAACTTGGATGGAAAAGTTGACGAGCAGAACTCAAGGTTGAAGGAAATCAAATATGAGGTAAATTTCTCAGCACATACTTTATACTTTTTTCAAGATGAGGATTTGCCTGAACTCGAAGCTGAGGTTTCTTATTCAGAAATAGCCTCGCTTTGCGCAAGATTGTCTGGAAGTTAAAGATGCTAAGAGATTAAGCCCAGTGGCAATGTATTTCTTTGTACTTCTCAATTGTTTTGCCTCTCTTTCTTTCAGAGGACATCAAGCACTTCTATCAGTACAATTCAATTTCCTTCTTGGTAGAATTATTATGCTATCTCTCTCTCTCTCTCTCTCTCTCTCTCTCTCTCTCTCTCTCTCTCTCTATCATAATCTTCGGTATACATGTTACGTTTAACAGGTGACTGATGCTAATGGAAAACTTGGAAAGATCGGTGATGATATCAAATCCATTGAAGCATTCATTGCAAGTCTGGTGAGTCTTGTATCTTTAATCTGCGTCAAACTAAGAGCCCAATTGCTGTGTAACCAAATGCATTTTTCTTTTGGTACAGGATGGAAAGGTGAACTCAATTGAAGTCAAGCAGGTAGGCACTCTTTTCTTGTTATTCAACCTTATATAACTCAATTATAAATTATATTTTGCTCCTCCAATCGCTCACTGATCCGTGCAGTTCGTTGAATTTTGTCAAGAAATGTTGTGGGTTTTTTTTTTAATACTAAATTTAGCTTCAGCATAGATAATCTTCTCTTTGGTGAAAAAGCATGAAAGGGTTGTGGGTTTGATGACTGTGTTAATAATTTCAGCTCCCTTTTTTTTAAAAATTAATTCAATATGAAAATAGGTGTAACCTTAGACGAAATAATAGAAGGAAAGTCAGAATAGAAATGAAAGGCGTTTTTACTGCCCTCTCATGACAGACAAAGATGCCTTCTCTTTCTTAAAGAGAAGTCACAGCATCCACAATTCCCTCTCTGATTGTGCTCGATTTTTTGTCCTATCTAATGTTCTCATTCATTTTCATTTCCTCTTTGACTTTTGTGGATTTCAGCAAGAAAATATATGGTTTTTGATATTTGCCTCAGCTTTTATGGCATGAGCTATTTCTGTCTAATGCTAGATTTTGCCAGACTTATTTTATCAGTTTTCCCTGACCTTTACTGGCCACAACTCTGGTGACAGGATCTTGCATGCCAGGGAGTATTGTACCTCTGCCAATTCGTTAATGACAAAGGGGGGAAAACGCCAGAGTTTCTCCTGGTTTGTTCCCGTTCTTGGCCATTATTAACTTTCTAAGTCTTTTGAAAATCTTATTTCTACTGCATCACGCAATACCCATGCCACACGGGTCCTCTTGTCTAGCTAGCTGTCAGCTTCAAGACTCCCATCCCTCTGTGTTCTTGACAAGTGTTTAAATCTCCTGTGCAGAACATGGCTAAATCTACTACTGGGAAGCGTATAGGGTTCTCAGAACCCATGAGCTTAAAGGTCGGATGCCCTCTCGTCCTCATCATTTTCCAAACTTTATGTATTAGATCAACTGGGTCATCCTAAAGTTATGAATTCATGTTTCATTCACATGGCCCAGGGCCTTCAGCACATAGCAGAGTCTCTGGAGAGACCAAGCCCTCTACCGAATGAAATCCCCCAGATTGAAATCGATCCCACAGAGAACCTGAAGCAACTGCCAAGGTTTGCTCCGGATTTGTCTCCTGTGGTGCTTGTTGTTCTTGCTGGTAAATGGCTGATGCCATGGAATCTTTCTTGCAGGACGGCTTCCATCAAGTGCTGATCATTACTTGTAACATAGGGAAGATATAACGCTTTCATTATTGCTGCTCTTGCATGTAAATGCCCTGCAAGTTTCTATTTATAGGTGAAGGAAGACAGTCCACTCTATAAGAGGTCTTCCCTTCTGGCATATTGTCTACTAGCCTCAGTCGTTTGCCCCGGCCTGCAACTATACAATATTTGTTCTACAAATAAAGAACGATCATCATCATCATCATCATCATCATATGACTACCCATTAAGAATGTCTGGGTTTATGTGATGTCGTGGCTAGTTGCTCTACTGATCGCTGGGAGGGTTGGGACCCTTTGTTTCTTCAGTAATTAGTCAACCAAGTGTAGGATTAACGTAGAACATCGAATCCAATTGAAAGAAGGGTGAAACGTTTGACTCAAGTGTCCCAAAAATGGGCTACAAAGATTAAAAGAACATAAAAGGCCCAAATAAGAGGTGGCCCACGGTAAAAATGTGTAATTAATGTGTTAGAGATTACTTTTTCCACTTTTAGATTTTTTTTAAAAATTTATTTGAACATGCCTGGAATTTATTATAATATGCCGTTATAATTGAACCATCTTTTTTGGGGCATTATAATAGACTTTCAGGCTTTTTAAAGAGTCATTCATTTAGTACTACAAATTTTCTCTATTTTTAAAATATTATTTTATTATGAATTCAAAGAAATCTCCTCGATTTCGAAGGTTGAAACTTTCAAATTTTGTGGATTTAGGGAGAAAAAAAATACGAAAAAAATCATATATTAAGAGATTTTTTCTGCATGTATCTTGGGTGTGTCACAAATTTATGTATGGACCATGAATATGCCCTTTTACTTCATAAGAGGTCAAACTAGGCCTACATATGGAGCCACTTGATTCTTGTTTAATCAATGAGATTAGACTGACTAATTTAAGTTGGGCCACTAGGTAAGACCTTCACCTTCACATTAGGTCAAACTAGGGCTACATATGGGGGCACTTGGTTGGATTCTTATTTAGTCAATGAGACTACACTCACTGATATGACCTTCAACTTCACATGAGGTCAAACTAGGCCTTCATATGGGTCCACTTGGTTGGATTCTTATTTTGTCACCTGATTGGACACGAGGTCAACGGAAGTCTTAAAAAACTCTCTAACCATGAGTTTGACGAATTGGCACAAAGTCAATAGAAACTCAAACATGTGACTGGGACAAGAAGTCCACGCTAGGTCGTAGCAAGTCAGTCAAGCGCCTGAGGTGCTTAGTTTGCTTTCATGAATAGTCTGAAGAGGGTTTAGACTTTGGGCTTTTTTGCAGTGGGCCGGGCCTAGACTTGTAAAATGGGGCGAGATTGGGCTCGTCTCAGTTGCTGTGGGAAATAATCGGGCCCCTTTCTGTGTGGGTACTGGGGAATGCCCACGGACACCTCCCCCGTGGCGGGCGTTTCGCTTCCACCGTCGCTAGTTCTGCTTCTTCTTCTTCCGGCGGCGGCGTCGGAGTATTCTTTTGCCCGCGGCGCCGGCTTCGCTGTCTTCTTCCTACGCCGTTGCTGCCTGCGGCTTCTGACCCCTTCTGGTGGACCTTGTCGACCACGCTGCGGTGGGGCGACGCGGTCGGCTGCCACCTCTGCTCAGCCGGGAGTGATTCTTGATGGCGACGGGAGCAATCCGGCTGTTTTCCTCCGGAGGACCGTCATTTTTTTATTTTGTAGGATTTCATCCTTCTCAGTGGTGTGCGTTGATATACATATGCGCACATTTTTTTTTGCCGAAACATCCATCTCATTTGCTTCTCATGAAAAAAAATTTAAAAATGGTTCCATGGTTCTATGATTGCATACAGTATCTTTATTCTCCCACTCGAATCCCTTTCACGTTTTTTGGTCTATGTAATTATTTAATTATTTTTCCTTTTTCTCCAGATTTCTTACAATTTTTGCAGATCAACAAGACATCTGCGCAAACAAATATACAGTAAGTCGGTCTTGACTGTTTCATTCTTTTTTCGGAGTTTTTTAATTATTTCTAAGAACGTTGTGAATAGACAGAAGTAAACCCAGTTCGTCCTTCGAGTGTCAACGTAAATGTCCCGCTAAAGTAACAAGATCTGCCACAATGATATTTATTTTTCAAAGGAAATTTACGACCTCAATGTATGATTCTAGACTGAAAGGAATGGGGGGAATAATCACCATCTTACATCCGCCTACACTGAGAAATTAATTATATATGACTTTATAAAAGAAGGTCTATTAAAAAATGTGAGAAAAACCGACTTATTTTTCTACTTATAACGGAATTAGGCATGTATGATCTGACTTCAAGGGAGGATAGAATGAAATCAAAATTCCCCGATTTGATCAGATGATGTCCTGTCAGATCGGGCCTTCAAGCCACTATGTGAGGACGAAGAAGGAAATAATTTCACTCTCCAGTCACCGGGAGAAAACAGAGGATGAAAAACTGGGGAAAGAAGAAAAGACGTGGGAGCAGACTTCGCTTTTTGTGGTCTTTAAAAAAATTGTATGCAAACAGTAATTAAATAACACTCTTTGTTGTATTTTAGTCACCATAATGAACAAGCTATTGAGAAATTAGGTTTATTGTCTAAGTTGTAACTCAGCTGACCAATGATCAAGAAAAATTGCGATTCAGCAACATTCATTTTTATTTCGAAGGTCTAACTAAACTGAAATTATTGGAGCACAGTCTACTGTTTGTTAGACTTTGTGCTTCATCGTAACCTTAAAATTCTTAAAAATTTAGTGAGAATATTATTACTAAATATTTCTCTCTGGATTATACTGTCAAACTGTTTCCAGTTAGAATAATCCGTCCATCGTCCTTCCTAATGATAAGCTCCTTCCGATCGTAAAAGTGACATCATCATGTTTGTTTAGACCAAACGTGTTTCTTATTTAGGATATGATGCATATTAGCCTAATAATCATGCTCTATAGCCTTGCAAACAACCGAACGTTTGCTCTATAGTCTTTTCAAATGAACAAAGGAAAATATGAAGAATATTTTCACAATTTTGATAGGATTCATTTATCTATTTCTGTTGTTTCCAAATCACTAATTAAAAGCACACCCTTTTAATTACGTTGACTTTACAAGGTAGCTGCATAAATCCGCCTTTTCTTCCCAGTTACTTAAAACCAATCCCTTTTTCCTCTCGCGGATCAGGAACGATTTCATAATTTTTTTTGATGAAATCCAGGCGATACGGGAAGATATTTATTACTTTGTCCAGAGCACCGCAACTTCTGTGTCACAAATCAGAAAGCGATGCCTTTTCCGAATGGCACTTCAGGGATCACTGGGGACACTGTATGCGGAAAGCATGGAAAGGCCATAGCTAAAGAGTGTCTGAGCCCTGATGTTGATGATGTTTGCCGTATTTTGTCCCATGTGGCATGGGGACCTGACATAGAAAATATCTTATCTGCGAAGCGGTATGATTTTCAACCGAAGTTTGTCAATGATGTCTTGAGGAATCTAAAGGATTTGCATCTGGCAATCAATTTTTTTTGGTGGGTAGAGAGGAAAACAGGCAAAGCACACACCCCGGAAGTGTATAATTCACTTCTTAAGATGATGGCTCATTGTAAAAACCTGGAGAATTTGGAAAATATTTTAGAGGCAATGAGCATTGCTGGATTTGGGCCACTGAATGACACCTGCATAGAGCTGGTTTCCAGCTTTACCAAGGCCGGGATGGTGAAAGAGGGAGTGGGGGTGATACAATCTATGAAAAAATTTAAATTCCGACCAGCATTTTCAGCATATACAACTTTGATTGGTGCCCTCGCTGAGACGCAGGAAGCTGATCTAGCTCTTTCCATGTTTCATCAAATGCAAGAAATCGGATATGAGGTAAATGTGCAATTATTTACCACCCTTATCCGTGTCTTTGCTAGGAAAGGGCAATTGGATGCAGCTCTGTCCTTGTTGGATGAGATGAAGAGCAATGCATTTGATGCGGATATTATTCTTTATAATGTTTGCATTGACTGTTTTGGCAAGGTGGGTAAGGTGGACATGGCCTGGAAGTTCTTCCATGAGATGAAAGCACAAGGTCTTGTGCCTGATGATGTGTCGTACACTAGCATGATTAGTGTCCTATGCAAATCAAATAGACTAAAGGATGCGATTGACTTGTTTGAGCAAATGGAGATTAACAAAAGAGTTCCATGTGCGTACGCATACAACACAATGATAATGGGCTATGGTTCAGCTGGCAGATTTCACGATGCCTACAACTTACTCGAGAGACTGAAAGAAAAGGGGTGCATACCAAGCGTGGTTGCATACAATTCGATCCTCACTTGCCTTGGGAAGAAAGGTAGAGAAGATGAAGCAATGCGTATCTTTGATGATATGAAGAAAGACGCAGAACCTAATCTTTCCACGTATAATATTCTCATAGACATGCTTTGCACAAAAGGAAATCTAGAGTCCGTGTATAAACTCTTGGGTACCATGGAAGATGCCGATCTGTTTCCCAATGTGCTGACAGTGAACATAATGATTGACAGGCTATGCAAGGCTCGAAAGCTTGATGAAGCCTGTCGAATTTTTGAAAACATGAAGCAAAAGGGATGTAGCCCCAATTCTTTTACATTTTGTTCTCTCATAGATGGCTTGGGTAAGAACGACCGGGTTGATGAAGCATATGGCTTGTTTGAGAAGATGTTGGATTCAGGTAATGCACCAAACGTGGTTGTTTATACATCCCTTATTAGAAATTTTTTTAGATGCGGCAGGAAGGAAGATGGTCATAAGATATTCAAAGAAATGGATCGTAGGGGATGCCATCCCGATCTCACTCTGCTCAATACTTATATGGATTGTGCGTTAAAGGCTGGGGAGATTGAAAGGGGTCGTCGACTGTTTGAGGATATCAAGGTCCGTGGGTTCATGCCAGATGTAAGAAGTTATTCTATTTTGATTCATGGTCTAACAAAAGCTGGGCTTGCACGAGAAACTTATGGATTATTTTATGCCATGAAGGAACAAGGATGTGTACTTGACACTCTAGCCTACAATACAGTTATTGATGGCTTCTGCAAGTCAGGTAAAGTGAACAAGGCGTATCAGCTTCTGGAGGAAATGAAGGTGCAAGGACACAGTCCAACTGTGGTTACCTATGGATGTGTGATTGATGGACTTGCTAAAATTGATCGTCTAGATGAAGCGTACATGTTATTTGAAGAAGCTAAGTCAAAGGGGATTGAACTGAATGTTGTTGTATATAGCAGCCTTATAGATGGATTTGGGAAAGTAGGGAGGATAGACGAAGCATATCTTATTATGGAAGAGATGATGCAGAAGGGTCTGACGCCTAACATATACACATGGAACTGCCTGATTGACGCTCTAGTAAAGGCAAAGGAAATCAGTGAAGCTCTTGTTTGCTTCCGGTCGATGAAAGATATGAAGTGCCCTCCTAACGTTTATACATACAGTATTTTAATCAATGGTCTCTGTCAAGTGCAGAAGTACAACAAGGCGTTTGTATTTTGGCAAGAAATGCAGAAGCAGGGTCTAAACCCTAGCGTGGTCTCATATACGACGATGATAGCAGGGCTTGCAAAGGTTGGGAACATAACAGAGGCTAATGGGCTTTTTGAAAAGTTCAAGGTATCCGGTGGTGTTCCAGATGCTGTGTGTTATAACACTCTTATAGAGGGCCTAAGCAACGCAAATAGAGCAATAGATGGATATAGGATTTTTGAGGAAGCTCGTTTAAGAGGATGCCAGATCACTGCAAAAGCTTGTGTTGTTCTCCTTGACTGCTTGCATAAGGCTGAGTGTCTTGAGCAAGCTGGAATCGTTGGTGCTGTCTTGAGGGAGATGGCAAAGTCCCAGCATGCTGCTAGGTCCCTCTAATTTTGGGGTTTGGAGAGTGTATGTCTATTGTTCTTCAAGGTCGTTATCGTTATGGGTAATCAACCCCGCCAAAGGCTTCCATTCGTACCAGTGCAACTTCCCTTCTCACTCTCCTTGCAGACCTTCGACGCGTTGGAATTTGGTTCATGACTATTCAAAATTTACGCACCCAGAGTGAGTATAGTTGAAGATTTTTCTTGTATAAATTATTTTCATTTCATCATCCTTTGCACGTTTTGATTGTCAACCTTTTTTACTTCAAAATTAATATTGATTTATATATTTATTTTCGGTGCATTGCTCACTATACTGAATGGAAATTCTTGCTCAGAGAACCGAAGTAGTTATTGGACGAATTAAATTTTAGTTTAAGGCAATGAGAGTGGATGGCAGTGGAAGTTGCCTTGGTTGTTTATGACTGCCCTGTGATGTGTTCTCAAAAGGTTTTGGTTTCAGACATTATCGCTATTAACTGCAGTCCTACCCTCTTTTAAGCTCGATAATATGGTGAAGATCTTCCTGAACAGCACCTATTTCTCTCATTAACTATCTCTCGCACCCGCCTATAAATGTTGCAATTTCTAGACATATAACTTCAACATCCCCTGGGCCAGTGCATTGCTATCGTTACTGTCCTTCTTCTATTTTTTTTCCCAATTTTTTTGATAGCTTTTTCATGGAAAAAAGAGAGGGAAAGCTCTGTAAACATGTGGATTTTCGTGTAGAGAGGGAAGAGCCGGGTCGCCGGAAGTTTTCAGTTTTATCATTGGCGCTGTACTTTGCTT